TATGTATCTATATTTGCTTTTTGTTTCCGGTGCTGTAAGTATTACTGATTTGGTGCATATGCTGTATTCTGGCTAACGTAGGAAAAATAGAAAAACTACACTTTCTGATTAAGCTTGGTTTACGTTGCCAGTATGTGCAATTTAGTTTTGTTACACCATGTAGTCCTTCTATCTGTATGTCCCCTGACGTAGTTTTCTAAGACTATAGGTGTGCATTTAGGCCTACGTTGGATTGCTGAGGGTTTTTTTTTTCCCCCTATGCTGATAGTCGTGCTATTGTCCCTTATTCAGGTGAATGAAGAGTATATGAAAACGCTTGAAATTCTGAGTAAGAAGCTGAAATTTGTAGAAGCAGATCAAGCCGTTAAAAGTTCCAGAGCCTTAAATGATGTAGAGCCTGAGCTCGAGAAGCTCCGGCAAAAAGCTATTTCCAAGGTTATTTATCTACTTTTCTGTTACCTGATACCGAACGATTATATATTTGCTGAAGGAGTGTGATAGGTCCAAACAGTTACGTATCTATTGACTCAAAACAGACATTTGACACATGCATAATTCTTAAAGTTGTTGGATAAATAAGTACAGAAAAGTTAAGTTCCTTAGATAACCCAACTTATTGCATCTCATTGAGATGAAGCATTGTTCCTTCTCTAAAATATTTTATGGGCAGAATAAATTTTCCATCTCGGGTGAATTCAATGAGTATTTAGTATTGTATTAAGTCCTTATCGTTTGTGTTTGTTCTCTTCCAATGCTGAAAGGGCATAAACGTTGACCGAGTATTCTAAATCTGCTCTCATGCAATAGATTTGTTTCCGTTTGCAGGTGTATGATTTTATTGTCCAGAAGCTTATAGCCCTGAGGAAACCCAAAACAAACATTCAGATTCTTCAACAGAGTGTGTTATTAAAGTACAAGTGAGTTATACTCTCCAAGCCAACATTTCCGGTTTTGCATTTAAGTTTCTGTTGACTTTTTTTCTTTCTGCATAGCTGTGTATGTGGTCATCACCTTACAAACGATTAGTTATCTTGCTTTGTATTTTGCATGCGTGATGTTGGCGGAGTTGTTTTATTCCACATGCTACTGATATCCAACTTTATTTTATTTTGCTTTTACATTAGATTTATTTGGATCCATACTTCATTATTCACCAATTACAATCTAATGTTAGGTATATTATCTCCTTCCTCAAAGAACATGGAAAAGAAGTGTTTATGGATGTCCGTGCTGCATACATTGATACCATGAACAAGGTGATATTCTTTTACTTGTTTGATTACTTGCACCATGGTGCAACTCCTTTATATAGTCTTAGTTTGATGAAGAAGGGATAAAAGGAAAAATTTATCTTAGGTTAATATCTGCAAATATAAGCTAGTGAATAGAACATCCTATTGTACGTTACATGCGGTAGTTCTTCTTTTCTTGTATTCTTACTAGAGTTATTGAGCTATGATGACTAAATGCGGTATGCAGGTTATATAAAAAAAAGCTGTTTGTTAGCTTAGGCGTTCAATTGTTGTTACACCTTATGTATTGTGAGATATGGTTTCAGGTGTTAAGTGCACATTTTCGTGCTTATATTCAAGCACTTGAGAAACTACAGTTAGATATAGCCACATCATATGACTTGATTGGGGTGGAGACTAGAAGCACCGGCCTCTTCTCAAGAGCTAGAGAGCCACTAAAGAACCGTTCTGCCGTTTTTGCTTTGGGTGAGAGGATAAAAATTATAAAGGTATTCATCACTCAGTGACTAGCTCTGGTGAATTAGTTATAGAGTATGAGTTACTCTACTGGTTCTTAATTTAAAAGAGATGATGCTAGCCTGCTAGGTGGGCGTATTGACCCAAAAAAAAAATAGAAGTGCTCACTTTGGCTTCTGGTTCAGATATTTTGGTTTTAATCAAATTTCATTTGGTTTATATATAATTTGTTTCTTAACAATATGTATCCATTAATTTGATGTAACTTTTAGTTTTTTTTTTCTTTCTCATTTCTACTTTGAGTTAGTTTGGTTCAGTATCGATTTTGTTTTTCTGGTATAAATGATATAAATCGAAATTTACCCTTACTTTCACTTTGACATTTTTTCTGTTTCTCTTATAGTTGAAGTGAGGGTATTTATACTTAAAGTTCGTTAAAAGACTTAAGTTTCAGTATGTCCACTGTAGGAAATTGATCAACCTGCATTGATCCCTCACATAGCTGAAGCCAGCTCTCTCAAGTATCCTTATGAAGTGCTCTTTAGGAGCTTGCACAAGCTACTTATGGATACAGCTACTTCTGAGTTCTGTTGATTTTTACCCTTTTCTATTTGTGCTATTTTGGCTCATCGCTCAACCCCCTGGTTAATGTCATTTGTTTTTATTTTAACAGGTATATATTTTGTGATGATTTCTTTGGTGAAGAGTCCATATTTTATGAAATTTTTGCGGGTAATTACTTATGTCTCCCTTTTTCTCTGTGTAATGCTATACCAAACCTTGGTGGATTTTGTTAGCTTTTAAAAGTACATCTTGTAGAACTACTGCCATCATAGTTAGAATAGTTGTTTCTATATTGATAAAGAAACTCACTTTGGACTTTGTTCCCGCATCACCTGATATGAATCTTCTCGGTGTTAAATGGGTGTTGAGCAACATGACATGTAAGAAATATCTTTTCTGCTTCCGGATAGAAACTTGAACCTCTTCTAGTTTTACAGATGATAAGATGATAGTAGCACTGTGTTTTTTGGTAAATTCTGAATTCTCCATGATACAGGTCCATTTTCTGTCATCGACGAGCACTTCAATCCCGTTCTTTCAAACTGTTTTGATGCTATCGGCCTGATGCTTATGATTCGCATTATACACCACCACCAGGTACTAACTATGACCCAATCTTTACTTTATGCGTGTTTTGGAGAATTCATTTAGAATCAGGTAATTTAGTTAGCTTCACTTTGCATCTTTTGAGCTGCATTTGTATGTGAGAATTTATTAGAAGTTAGTGGTCCAATGAAGTATGGTTTGATTTTTATCATTCTGCATTGGAAGGAGGGGCCTTAATGTCTTGCAAACCAAAGATGCAGATATACTGGGCTTTTTAGGAAAGATGTTTCTGGATTACATACTTTCAACTGGTCCACTATATTTTGCCTTTACAGTATGATAATTAAATGTAGCTTATATACTACTTATTCTCATGATCCGAGCCTTTTGCAAGCGTCATGATTCTTTATGTGCCCACTAAGTGTTTTAAGTAATTCTCAATTGCTACCTGGTTCACAGCTTATAATGTCTCGCCGGAGGATTCCATGCCTGGATTCATATCTGGACAAGGTGCATAACTCCTTTATCTCTTAAATACATATGTCGTTTGCAATTGAAGCAAAAAAAAAAAAAATGTTTATTATTATTGTGCGTATAAGCAGCTGTTTTCACTTGGTCACTATATTTTTTCATTCTGGTATAACTTTGAAGGGCCACACCTCAATGAATCTTTCTTCTTTCAATGAATCTTTTTAATTATGCAAATTGAGCAGGTTAATATTTCTCTGTGGCCTCGTTTCAAGATGGTGTTTGACTCACACCTCAGCAGTCTGCGGGATGCAAACATAAAGACATTATGGGAAGATGATGTTCATCCTCATTATGTCATGAGGCGTTATGCTGAATTCACGGCTTCGTTTATTTACCTGAACGTTGAATATGGAGATGGGCAGGTTCGTTAAACAATTTCCTCTCTCTCTCTCTACTGATATGTGATACCTGGAGCTGGTCACTCAAAGCGCTTGACATTGCCTATGCAACGCTGCAGCTTGATATAAATTTGGAGCGTTTAAGAATGGCTGTAGATGGCTTGATTCTCAAGCTTGCAAAGTTGTTCCCAAAGCCAAAGCAGCAAATTGTGTTTCTCATAAACAACTACGATATGACAATTGCTGTGCTAAAGGTGAGTTGAATTCTTGGCCGTCTCATGTTAAGTGCACCCGTGTAGATCAGTCTTTACTTGGTTTAAAATGCCTTTCTTGAGTCAGTCAGCATATCCAGATTTTCTATTAGTCTTAACTCGTAATATTGTGACTCTTACCTTACCAGAAAGAAACTGTTTTGACCATCTTCCTCTATTCTAGGAAGCTGGACCAGAAGGTGGGAAAATTCAAATGCATTTTGAGGAATTACTAAAGAGCAACACTTCGTTATTTGTGGTAAGGGACAATGTTGCACTTTTTTATTTCCTTTAAAATGTTGAACTCATCTTGCTTTTATAATTTGCTTCATGGTTTGAACACGACCATATAAGGATGGTTATATTTGCCTGATCCAGATAAAGGAAGAACATATTAAGAAATGAAGTTGTGGGGTTATTATGTTTCCTATTTTGTTCATTTTCTTATCTCGCAGGAAGAATTGCTGGTGGAGCATTTCAGTGATTTAATCAGATTTGTGAAAAGTCGAGCCTGTAAGCAACTTCTTTCTTTCTTGTCCTCGCACTCATCATTTGCCAAGTCAAATAAATACTAACTGCAAAACACGTTAGCAGCTGAGGATTCAAGTTCAAATCCAGAGAGGTCCATCACAGTTGCTGAACTAGAGCCATTGGTGAAGGACTTTGGAAGCAGATGGAAGACAGCGATAGAGTTGATGCACAAAGATATTATAACTTCCTTCAGTAACTTCTTGTGTGGTATGGATATTTTGAAAGCTGCATTGACACAACTTTTGCTCTATTACACAAGACTCACGGACTGCATAGATAGTGGATCTGCTCTGAAGAGGGATATTGTCTCCTTTCCATCCATCACCTTCGAGATCAAGAAATATCTTAAGACTTTCTAGAAGATAACATAGAGTGTGGCTGTTGCTTATGAAGAGAGAGTATGTAAGAATGTGAATCTTTCGAAGCGAATCTAAAGCCAGTGTTATGTGTTATAATATATCGTTGAACGTCTTTTACCCTACTGTAATCCCATTTTAGTCTCGGGTTTTTATCGACCTGTGTGTAATAGATAATTTCATGGGAATCAACAAGAGTTTTCTTACATTAAACTTAGGCTCGTTGCGTTAGCCAATTTAAAATTCTACCGCCATCTAGATACAAAATTTAGATACCAAAAACCTCGCTTCCTTGAGTTCTACCTTGAACGACAACTACTAGGCAGTAGGAAACACAAAAAAAAAAAATCCGATGGTTAAAAACGAGTCTTTACAAAGCATCCTCGTGATAAAGATGAAGTCCTAGTCCAAGCCTTGCACAGGCACGGCGAAATGCCATTGCTTCAGCCTTTTGCACAGCATCACCATAGCCTTTATCATCTACCGAAGTGGTGCCTGTTGATTCCCTAAATATCTTCACAACACAAACAATGATTAATTAGTAAATCATTCCAGATTAAGAAGCAAACAATGAACACAAAATATGCGCAAGACAGTAAGTAGGGAAGCAAATTCGAAGCATTTGGTACCACCCAAAACAGGTGTTATCACCTCTAAGGTTTATGCAGAATCTATAACCCCGAGTTGGTGTTTCTCAACATACACTCTCAGAGCTGTATTGGCTAAACGGGTTTCCTCTCATACTTTGGAGAAGTCAAATGTACACAAACAACAAGCAAAAGGGGCAGTAACTAGATTTCTACCTTTGCAGCCTCTCGGACAAGAAGGCAAAGAACTCTTAGGCTAAAGAATAATCAAATCAGGGCATATAGCTAAAGAAGAAGGAAATACCTCAGCATCGGTGCCGTAGAGAGTCACGCGATAAGCCACAGTAACGGTGTTACCATCAGGAGAGTAAGTGACACTTCGAACTTCTCCTGACCATTCTGAAACACAGAATCATATACAGAAAATGTCAAATCAAAACCCAATATGGAAACCCAGAAGAAGGAATCATCAGATCTAAGGATTTAGCAGACCTGGAGCATGCAGATTCATGATCCGATTAACAATGTGCCTGAGAACCAACACAGTTTCAAAGAGAGTATAAGTACCAATACAGTCTCTCTAAAAATCCATCAATAAGAACCCTAAAACCCAACCGAGAGAGAGACAGTGAGAGAGAGACAGTGAGAGAGAGAGAGAGAGAGATACCAACCAGGGGATGTATTTCATGGCGAATCCATCTTCGATTCGGGTTTTGATGACGCTATCTGGAACCTTTTTGTTAAGCTCCTTGAGAATCTCAGCGAGAGGTCGGCTGATTCCTGAAGTTGGAACATCATTTTCTGGTTCAGAAGAGAATCGACGAAATCCCTTCCCCATTTCCGACGAACAACGCCTCGAAACAGTAGCTGCTCCGCTCCTCAACGTCCATGTCGCCGCCTTTAGCCGTAACCCTAGACTCGCCATTTCCTTTCGCCGGAGAAAAATGCTTAAAAGGCGCGTCTTTTACTTTTGGGGCTCTGGTGTTAGCCGTGTAGGGTTTAGTTGTCTTTTTCTTTTTTGACACTGAGGTTTAACTGTCGTAGACTTTTCAATTTCCACACTATTTGATAAAATTATCCCACATCGAAAACTGGGATAATTTAGAAGGGAAGCACTATAAATAAAAGTCTTCATCATCGATTTGTGGGCCCTTAGCAAATTCTTTATGTGATCCACTCCAGTTGGGCTTATTATTGGGCCCGATTTTTTAATAAGTTTCGGTTTTCCAAATAAATCATCGATTTTTGGAAGAAATTTGGTTATCCGCCTAAGCTGGCGATTTTTCGAACCTGGCTATTTATCGTTTATTACTAGGCTTTATAATTGCTTCAAAACCTCAGAGAGCAAAACGTAGTCGTTGCGAAGGTCTCGTCTTCACTCGACCTTTTGGTGAATTCTCACTCCTTGCTCTAGTCTCTGCCTTGCTTCAAACCCATTCCTCCAAGCTCCAGCGTGAGTTAATCTAGTCTCTTTATAATGATTAATTACCTGCTTTTAGGTGATATTTACGATTTTTCATATTTCTGGAATTGTATCTGAGTGAGTACTTGGCTCGAATTGATTAACTAGTGAATTCGATAATGTTATTCATAGGAGGCATATAAAAGCATGACCTCAGCTTACTTTACAACTGTACCTATTGAATCTGGTAGTTGAAGTATTTAGTTATATGTAGTAAAGTTAGGCCTTTTGCAAGTCCTCTAATCTAAGCTATATCAATTTCCCACAGAGAAAGTTGGAGTTTTTCCTTTTCTTTTCTCTCCCCAATTCGTATAATTCGTGCTTATGAATTATCTTCATAACAGACTGAAGTAAGGAATGGATTCAGATGCATGGAAAATCATCCATATACCTGATAAGCCTACATGCCCACCTGAGCATCAGCCCACTTGTATGCTTCAATTTCTGAGAGCTTCTCATTTTGGATTTTATCTTTCAAAGGTTCTTTTATTTAAAACTAAAACTTCTGCTTGTGTGTTCTTGTTCACAGGGAAGGTGTATGCGAGTGTAATCAAACCCAAATTTGCCAATACCATAGTGAGGTTTGTCATGTTGTTTCGGCTCTGATTCATTGATTGAAATTTGCAACTACTCTGCAGAGCCACAATCTCATCATGCTCAGTTTCTTCCAACTCTGCACTAAATTGAGAGAATTTGACTTTGCTTTAATAGGCAATTATGTAAGATCGCTCCTCTAGAAGATCTTCGTCATGTTAAAAGGGTGCGGAAGAAGATTCTTCAAGATCACGGTATGCCCCATTGTTACTTTTGTTGGCTCGCTGATACACCAAACATCAAATTATGAGGTCTTGATTGCAAAGCTTATTGAACAGGTGAAACTCAGTTGACTGTCATCTTATGTCTAGCACCTGAGCACAACGATCATTTGAATGATTTGCCACTTGACGTTCAGAAACTCGTTGATCCCTATGAGTTGAGTCCTTTTATTACAGAAGTGGGTTGCTTTTTCCTTGGTCTCACAAAAACAATTTCTCTTCAAGGCTTTTGTACTCTTAGAATTCGAGTCAACGCTTTTTGCTCATCAGTTTTAGTCTGATCTTTCTGTTATAACTATGAATAGGTATGCAAATATGCTGCAGTTTCGAAAGAAGAGTGGGAAGAACAGTGTAAAATATGGCCAACTTCATTTCATCCCCCAACCTAGTAAGCTCCATGTCTTTTGTTGGATTCTGGTTTGTTGCATCAATTTTGTAAAAAAAAATTAGTCCTTTTGGAGTAATCCTACTTGATTATTACTATTAGGGTTCTTCTCTGCGTTGTGATAGCAATAACATGTCTTTATTACTCACCGCCTTTTTTTTCCATTTGACAATGACAGCAATATAGATGGCATTAGTGGATTCAGTGAGGATGACACACAATCAATCTTCAAGTTCATGAGACTTGTTATTGATCTGGCAGTATCTGAGCATAAACCAGTAAGTATTTTGCTGCTTGCCTTAATCTATTCAATGTCGTAAAGTTTTAGAAAACAGACCACGTTCTTTGTATAGATATTCTCTTATTCATCTATTTTCCACTTTTGACATACCATTGGTTTTTTTTCATTGCCTTAATTTTCTTAGTAATAAGCTTTACCATGGCTAATACCCGGTTCATTCAGATTGTAAATGCTGCAGTAATAGTTGATCCATCAGTTAGGCGGATAATAGCTAGTGAAACTGATCAAGTATATCCATCGTCTACTCCTCGTGACATGACTACGACAGAGACCAGCCCTTTCAATGAAACAGGGGATGACAGAGTGACTAACGCTAGCTCGCAGATATTCTTAAACGGCATAATTGAAAAACTGAATGGTTCACTGTCTGATGTTGCTTGTCTGAATCCTTGGCAATGGTGTTTGCAGCCACATGAGACTGAAAAGTGTAGCCAATGGCATCCTCTAAGGCATGCTTCCATAGTTGCCATTGAATCTTCTTCTGCAAGAGATAGATATCTGTTTCCTAATTCAGCAGAGAGTGTTTCTCCGGATCATGTTCTGCCCTCAGATGCTGATATTCCAGCTAAAAAGCAGAAGACAAGCAGTCACAGTCCGAATGTAAGTTCATTCCCACCAAGAATTTGAGATCTTCTCCAATTAGTAAAACATTCTCTCTTACACTCTTGAGTCACCAATAGGTCCAAAAGAACTGCAGTGAAGAAGCTCCTAGAGATCCTCCAATGGAGAGGCCTTACCTCTGCACAGGTTATGACATTTTCCTACTTTGGGAACCTTGTACGATGTGAGTTTCTGCATATACATTACACCCTTGTAGCATCAGCAAGTTTGGGAAATCTGATAAAGTGGTGATTATGCATATTAGGTGTGCCATGGCGCTTGTGCATCAAAGAATAAAACGAATTTTCTATGCTTTTCCAAACCCAACGGCAGGCGGTCTTGGGAGTGTTCATAGACTCCAAGGGGAAAAGAGTTTAAACCATCATTATGCAGTGTTCAGAGTTTTGCTGCCTGGGGATGCGCATAATGCACTCAACCATGGTCTAAAACACGCCGTTTCTTAATTGTATTACAAGTTCTATATAATTATATATAAGGAAGCTGATTTCTTGTTCTTGTTCTTTCCAAGAATCTGAAATCTTGTTGAGTTATTAGACCAAGATTTGAAACTGTGACATATAGGTGAAAGATCTTTATCAGAGCCTTCTGAGTTAGTACTACCATCTTTAAGAATGCTTGAATTTGGTGAAAAGTACTAAAAATTGCTACGGTGATTCCAATATCAGTTTTCTGTTTCTCGAACCAGAAATTTATCATGTCCGTATTGAAAAGCCTTCTTCAAGACACTCAGTTCTAAGATCTTCCATGAGACCCTGAAACATAGCTGGATCGCTCGTAACAACTGCATCCACACCTAAATGAAGCATTCTTTTCATTGGATCAGCATCATCCACAGTCCACGCATAAACCTCTTTGTTTCTCCTGTTCATCAGGTCGAGCAAGGTTGTAAAACACATGGAAAATGATGTGCGGGTGTGTTATCAGTTGAAAACATTGGAATCCATTGCTTACCGATGCGCAGCTCTAACCAATTTTTCATCGGTCAAGGGATGATACACTCCCACAACCCTAGCTCCCTTCATTCTCAGCAGGTTGTTTCTCACCCCAGTCGAAGGATCCACCATCACAATGTATCCCACCTGCCAAAAAAAAAACAAAGTGCCGTCACAAGGAATGAGCTAGAAACTGGACCCCAACTTCTCATATCCAATCCTCAAATGAGAAGAAAAAAAATCCATTTCTACATACTGTAATATCTGGAGCTTGTTTGATTATGTCCCTAGCCAAACTGTCGCTTTTGGCCCACACAATGCAATTCTTGCACTGCGCTTTCTCAATCTAACAACAGAGAACCGATGATTAAGGTAGGCACAGCCAAAAATACCACCATTAAAGTTAAAGTAAAGCATCAACATTGATCCATAATCTGTATTCCAAGTATCTATATAGGCAGTTCTAGCTCTCTGTGTGCTCAAAGATACAAAACAGGCTCTTAAAGAATCAAAACCTCTTTATGATGCAGATCTTGATAAGTGACAAACTAGACCTCGTGTACTACTGTACTCTGTTCTAAAGCTTAATATGTACAAGTAGCTAGCAAGTGATAACTTAGTACTTACAACAGAAAGGATATCTTGCGCGAGCCCTTTTTCATACATTGGTGGCCCGACCTTAGCATCAAGAATCACTTGCCGAACTGAATTTGATATCACCTAGATGATTGAAGATGAAGGTTAAGTTCAGCCACTTTGTTACTGAGGAACAATCACAAAGAAGGAGCACGAAAAGGTAGTGATAAAAAGAGTGTGCAACGTTAAGGCATTACCGCTAAAGCATCTTCAAGGGTAGGAATCCTACGATTGCCCAAGGTCCCTCTTACAATTTGTGAGACATCGAGTTCTTTGATCTTCAAAAAAAAAAAAAAAAAAAAATTCAAAGGTCTAAGAAAAATGGATGCAAACGAGGTGCAAAGCCTATCCCAAAAGAATGGTAAAATAGAGACTGAGACCTGTTTCATACTCAGATCTCCAACTTGGACAGAAGAGTTACGAGCAATACGCTGCAGATCCCTGACTGTGCAGTGTGATCAGACGATAAAGAAGATCTCCGATGAGAATCGAAAACACAGAAAAACAACGAAACCAAGGAAGAGAATGAAAAAGAGTCTGTAACCTGTTGTGAAGAGCGAATAAAACACCATCGGAGGAACGAGAAACATCGACTTCGATACAATCAACTTGAGAACGGATAGCGTAACTGTAAGCATCCATCTGCGAGAGAGAGAGCGAGATGTAGAAGATAGTAAGGTTTAAGATAGTAGTAAGAGTGTGAAGAAGAGGGAAATGGATGGATCGAGAGTATATATACAGTGTTGGGGAAAGCGCGGGTGGAATCGCCGCCGTGAGCGCAGACAAGTGGAGGACGGTGAAGCCAATCGCACTTCCTTGCGACGATCTGGCGAAATCGTCGTAGCTTGAGATGGAAGAAGAGAGGAGGAAAGATGGCTAAGAAGACCACAGCGAAGAGAATCATTCTCTTGAGTTTTCTCGAATATAAAGGCCTGAAGAGATGACGGCGGCGAGTTACTCCGCCGTCGAGTGGCCGTCTTCTCTGTCGCCATTCGAAGATCGCCATTAGCTGAAGACAAAATAGTTAGGAGCTTACTAATTAAGACGCTTAATGCGATTGAAAAAAAAAAAAGTCAAAAAACAAATTCACCAATCACCATCATACTTCTGTCTTAGGATAATCTATACTTTATTATTTGGTAGTAATTTAATAAACATTTAATATTCAATAGACTTTTCTCTCCCTTTTTGTGGGGTATTAGCTATTTTCTCAACTGGCAAATATTAAATAGTTGAAGATTTTTTAAACTTTTTTCCTGTGTAACATTTACTCATGAGTCTATATATACAAAAAAATTATCGATTTTGTCTTGTTAATTCCGTCGATGTTATTCCCTAGAAAAGAAGAAGAGAAAGAAGCCGCCGTTTTATTCTCATTTGATCCATATATCTCTCTCTCTAGAGCAAGTAAACCGAGAAAAAAATAAGTTTAGAACATAAAATGAAGAAACAAAGAAACGGGTTTGATTATGAAGAATTCCAATGTATCTCTTTGGAACATTTGCTACATAAGAGAAGTGAAAACGTGTGGATTGATGAAAACTACTCTTTGTATCTCATCGTCTCTTTCTCGAACCCAATCGTTGGGAATTGTTTAGCATATTCTTCAACCATCTCACGCAGTTTCGCCATCTCTGACTGCAATTTCTCATTTGATTGCATTGTTGCTACAAAGTCCTTCAGCTTTGTTCCTGCAATACATTAAATAGTTCCCTTAATATAATCCCTGATTTTAAGTGAGCAATGAAACCACAAAAAAAAAAAAAAACCGAAACGACTTCTGATATACCTTGAGACTCTGCCTTGATCTTCAAGGCTATCTTGACGGCTAAATCAAAATACTCGGCCACTTTTGCAAAATCTTCCTCAATGAATCCTCTTGATGTGAGAGCTGGTGTTCCTGTAAGAAGAACAGATCCGAACATATACGATTATCTCAGTGATCACAGGTCTCTATGATCACAACTCAAATAGAATCAACCTCCTTTTTGTTCAAAAGCAGTAAATGCCAAGAAGAAGCATGAACGTTTACTTGCTTTTTCGACATACTAACAACACATTACTCCTTACCCATACGGATGCCACCTGGAACCATGGCGGAAACATCACCCGGAACAGTATTCTTGTTTGCTGCAATATGTACTGATTCTAATACTTTTTCCACTCTTGATCCATCTATTCCCTGCAAAACCCAAGTTCCAATATCATACACTCCCAGAGAAAAATAGCGACGCTGTGCACTGCTTAATGAGGTTCACAGTACAAAAACAAAACATTTGAACTTGATTTTGCTACATCTGTTCAGCATATCATCAGTAAAAAATGATATCACACAATAATTAGCAGGGGCAGGAAACCATCACTGTTTTAGTATATCATACAAAAATAATTTTTTTTCAGGAGTTAAGCTATGTTCTCTAAAACAGATGAGCTTCACCATTTACTTATGCAAACTCGTAATTCGGAAGCAAACATTTCCATCAAGACATCAAATCTGCAATAAAAGATAGAACAAGAGGTACCTTATTTTTAAGATTCACCAAAACTAAATGATTCTCAGTGCCTCCAGAGACTAAGTCATATCCTTTCGCTAGCAAAGTCTGCAATTAAAAGCCATTTGGCAAAATAAAAAGTGAGATGATTACAGTAGGCCTAATACCACGTGTTTCAAACATGGCAGGATTTGAGTCATGTCTGCTAATTACTCAACCAAGAATACGAAAAATCAGCAAACACATCTCACCTCAGCAAACTTTGAGCAATTACGGAGAACTTGATCCTGGTAGGCCTTATACTCTGGTGTTTTCACCTGTGAGTAAATCGACAAACTCAAAAAGTTCATGAACGAGACCAACAAAATCATAATAGATTAAGCCTTGATCAGAAACTGAAAGGGGCAAATTTCACAAAAAAAAAGTTTGAAGTCCGAACCTGCTTCAGAGCAACTGCTAGACCTGTTATAGTGTGATTATGTGGACCACCTTGCAGTCCAGGAAAAACAGCTGAGTTAATTCTGTCCTCATAGTCATACATGACCTGACATGTTGTAGAGATACAAACGACATATGATCAAATACTACAAGAATTTAGTCAGTACCTGCAGGTTACTTACTACTTCATTTTATACAATATGACTTGAAATTCACCTCTTTCCCTTGTTTGTTAACCTCTTTCAACCCCTTCCTAAAGAATATCATTGCCCCTCTTGGACCACGAAGCGATTTGTGAGTTGTAGTTGTAACAACATCTGCATACTCAAAAGGAGAGGGGATAACGCCAGCAGCAACCAACCCACTAATGTGAGCCATATCAGCCAACATAATCGCCTTTTGCTTGTCACAGACCTGCAAATTTATCACGCATAATCTTAAAAAATGCAATCCACATTTGTTCAACATGCAACTTTGGTAAATATAACTTCAGAGTAAAGAGTTGAGACAATATTTCACCTTACGAATACGTGCATAGTCATATAGACGAGCATAAGCACTTGCACCCGCTACAATAAGTTTGGGTCTGAAAAGCACAGCACTTTTTTCTAGCTGAGAATAATCATACCAACATGTATCTCAATGGTATATTTGGAAAAGATAAAAATGTTGTAAGGATTAAGCTAAGCTGGCTATTAACTACCCAACCTGATCATAATCAATGTAACCAGTGCTCTCATCCAATCTGTATGGCATTGTCTCAAAAAAGATAGATACAGCAGATATCTTTTTCGTGTCAGTCTGCACAGAAGCAATCAAAAGAAAAGAGACAAAGATACATTATCAACTCGACATGGACATGAGAAAAGAAGCTGAAAACCGACCATGCTATAGAGAATATATTTCAGGTACCTGGTAACCATGAGAAAGATGTCCACCATGAGGTAGGTCAAGTGCCATAATTCTTTCATGAGGTTTCAGTAGCGCGGTGTAAACTTGGAAGTTAGCTGGTGATCCTGATAAAGACTGCACATTGACTACAAAAAAATAGGAGTAGCTCATGTCATAACTGTCGCCATTAGTAAGTTGGTTTCTAGTAGAAAATGTGAAAGATTCACTAGTAAATAAAGCATGTCGTCTCGGCATAAAACTAGTACCTCCCCATTTCGAAGGATCTAACTGAAAAGCTTCAAGCGCGCGTTTTTGACATAATGACTCGGCCATGTCAATGTACCTAAGTTGAGAGGATGCAAAAAAAAATCTTGAGCATCGGATACTAACAGCAAAGTGCAAGAAGTTTGAAAAAGGAAAACAAAGAAAAATGTTTCCATACTCGTTTCCTCCATAGTATCTAGCTCCAGGGTATCCTTCACTATACTTGTTAGTCATAACAGAGCCAACAGCTTCCATCACCGAGGCAGAGGTGAAATTCTCTGACGGTATAAGTTCAAATCCCTGAAACCTCGCAATATCATCCAGATTTCCAAATCAATGTAAAGCTTCCAGATTTCCAAAGTTTTTCTTTTTGTACTAAAGAATGAAGCAGACAAACTTCGCAAAAGAATCCAGATTAATGTAAACATGAATAAAGTCAATACCTTCCATTGCCTAGCCTTCTCGAGTTCGATAATATCTGCGATTTCGGGATCAATTTCTTCCAGAGGTGCATTCAGTTGCTTTATCCACTGATAAAGAAAACGTAAAACTCGAAATAAGAAGCTGTTGGTTATTGTATGATGCATCCGATCTAATTGCCATCAATGTAATATGTATATAGCAAAACAATGATAATATACACTGGAACGAGATCTCTCCGAGTCCGCCATAGCCGAAGTTGACAAAGACGACTGAGCATAAAAAAAAACATGAGAACGGATCAGAATCAAACAAGAAGAAACTTAAAAAAGTGGGATTGAGAAGATAAAGCGTGAATCAGAATAACCATAAAACGAAGGGAACCGCCATTAGAGGAAACAAGCGAGATCGGCTTCTTAACAGAAGAAGAGAGTCTGCGAAGAGCCAACGCCATCATTTTCTCAATCTCCTCTGTCCCTGAGTTTGTGAGTGTGCGCGCAGCAGTTGAGAAAGCGGCACTGCCTCTGTAAAATAAGCTCGTGTCTTGTGGTTGGTGAGAGCAAAAGGTGGCTCCGATTTATCTAAAAAGCTTTTTATATTTCTATCATTCGGTGCAATGCAACGTCACTTGACGTAAGAAGTCACCATTTGCGATTAAGATAGAACCGAGAGTGTTATCATCAGCTAATTAAAAAAATAGATGCTGAGACCTGTTTCAGATCTCGAACTTGGACAATAGCTTACGAGCAATACTGTGGAGATCCCTGATTGTGCAAGTGATCAGGCGATGAAGAACACTGGTAGATCCGGGACATGGATTCAGGGAACTGTCTCGTTGGGCTTGGGAAGAATCTTCAAGCCCATATCGATTGCATTATTTCGACTTGTTATATTTGGAAACATTTTGTTGATACAGGGATAGTTATTTTCTCAATCATGTTACTCATGAATCCTTTACTGATGAAGTAAAAAACCTTTATCCTCATTTCTTCCATAACTCTAGAGTAAGCAAACAGAAAATAAATTTAGAAGTTTAGAACACAATGAATAAAACAAAAGAGGTAGCTAACGAAATCATCTCCTAGTCTTATCAAGAACTTCAATGAATCTCTTCGGAACTCCATAGTGTTCCACCATATATCTCGCAACATCGTCAATCACACCTCCCTGAATCAGAACCTCGTGCCCTTTCTTACCTGCAAACAACACAACACAAACACAATCTCTCAAAAAGTTACTCACTAACACAAAACAAAAGAGAAGATTTATAAACGTACCTGGAAGTTCTCCAACTGAAGTGCTGCAAGCAAACTTCTTCTGCAGTTCTGATCCAAACGCGTCTGGGTCTATCAAGAATGTCTCTATCCCAGAGACCTTGGTCACTTTTTTGTTACCTTGTCTTCGTTCCGTCATTATCTGAACCGGCTTTATAGCTCCTTTACGAACCACGGGTTCACCACCTCTCATGACTACGTGATTAGGCTGCATCCTCCCTATAAACGTCGATCCAACATCTTTTTTGTGAACCTCTGACGGGTATGCTGATCCTTTTTTGATAGCTCCTTTGAACAGTGCATCACACAATATCGGATCCAACACCACCATTGACTTGTTTGTTGGCTTTACCAGATTTTCCTTCTCGATGTATTTGAACACAACATCAGAGGCTTCTGAAGCTGTGTATAGCTTTCCTTTGTCTTCCCCAACTGATGCAAATACTGCACTGTTGTGTATGCTTGGTTTATAAACCTCTATGATTTCAAGCATTTTCTCTGACTGAGCTTGTGCTGTGGAGCGGTCTCCAGAAGACTCGGAGATCTCCGCTTTCTTTTTCTCCGGCTTGAAGGATGAGTACTCTGGGTGCCTACGGTTCACCGAAATCAACACAATCTCCTTCTTATGCTTGTCTTCTTTCACAGAGATCTGTGTATGTGTTTTTAAAAGTTCAGAATGGTAATGTAAGAGTACTAATGAGTGTTACTAACCCTTTAAAAGATACAGCTTACAACGCTTGATGATTATATTTGCCTAAAATTTAATAACCAGTTGGCATTTGCATTGAAACATCTACGCACACTCCTATTCTATAACATCGAGCAAGAAACATACCATAAAACAAGGGAAAGTAGAATGATAACTAACCATTCCTCCAGACGCTTTAGATTGCAGCCACTTTGACAGCTTTTTATGGGAAGACTTCTTAATGTCAAGCGTGAGCCCAGAAGGCCTACAAGGTAATACATGATTTGCCCTGCACCACTCACAGAAAAAAACCAATGTTAAGCCAAACTTAGTAAGGAGAAAGAAAATGCGTAATAAAACAACGCCAAACCAACAAGGTAAAGCGGGATTGCATACATCAGGAGTTAAGACACCAACCAACTACCATAATATAAATGGCTTTAAAAGCAACTCAAGTATCTGAATGGCGTTGTTACCATAGAGTGCTTCCTGGGATGGGAAGGTCCTTCTCCTTTAGTGTTGTATGCAATGCTTGCAAAAGGCATTGGTCAAGAAGAGCATCTACCTCCTCAGGAGAGAGAGTATTCTGCTTCTCGGTATTTGCTTCATTAGCAGAAACGTCATCTCCTAAGTTCAGCTCATTCATGCTCCCAACCATATGTTCTTCAGAACCATTCTTAGCATCCGTAACTGAGGTGGAAGGCCCGAGATCACTAACATCACCAGATTCATCTTCTTCATTTCCTGTGCTTGTCTGAGGACCAGCTGAAGCGTCTGAAATCTCTTCACCCGAACCAGAAGCAAGGTATGATGGGTCCTCCATGACAACATCCTCCATGAAACCAGCATTTGGAACATAGTGCCCCTCAGCTGATTCCCTGTGAACACACAGCTTTACCATGTAAGACGCTTACTTCCTCCGAAGATGATAAAAAGTAACGGAAAAAAATGCAAAACTGTTGCCAGCATCTTATGTACCAGAGGAAGTCACGGTAATAATGAGTTATCCGTAAAGCCTTCCCACGCAAACCTGCTTTAATGGCTTCTGCACTACTCATTGTGGTAAACCCAACCTTCAAAAACATACAAAACCATAAAACATCAGGTAACTCGAGAGGCAGGCTTTATGTTTGTTAAGAAGATTCATCGGTTAGCAGATACAAAGAGGCTTACAGCTATAGGTGCAAGATTTCCAGGAACTTTTACAGCCCAAATTTCTCCAGCTGAGAAAGAAGGAAAGCCTTCGGCAGGGATCCAAATACCTGGGAACATCAAATCTGCACCGCCTATGACATACCGTGAAACCTCACCTCCTTTCAACATATAGGAAGGTAACATTTCAGGAGCCTCCCAGAGAGCAAAAACTGCAGCAGAAGAAGAGAAAACAAAATAACAACAAAAATCAGAAAGGATTTGTCTTGATCAGAAACTAACTACAGTATCCAACTCATATAGCACTGTGCTTGAAGCATTTGAATCATACAAAATCCACAAACCTGTGGGGAATATCTCATTCCCTCTTCCATCAATATCGAAAAACATGGGACATCCACCTTCAATACTATAGACAAGAACCCGATTCTGAAACTTGGAAACAGTTATCTCGACCTAGACAAGACATAAAAATGTCAAAGTAAGCAAGACATCATCAATCCATAACAAACCCGACGCAATCTAATCGAGAATCAATCAGATGAAAGAAGATTGAAGACTCAGTAATTTATCCGCCTTATCCCAAGACAACACGATGATAATGAAATACAAGTAAAAGAAGAAAAGGGAGAGAAAAAGCAAACCTTGGGAGGAAGGATGGCGTCGAGAAGCTCATCGGTGAGGAGGGAAAACCTATTTAGGACGGTACGCCGGAGTTTCTTCCGGTCGGCGCCGGAGAGACGCTGATGAGACTTGGCTTCAACCGCCTTCTTGAACATTCTGTTCGCCTGAGTGTCGATTTAGCACCTTGGGGACCCAAAACCAAAGACCAACGCCGTCTCTCTTAAACCTTCTTTTTTGTTTCCTCGGTTTCCTTCTCTGGCTTCGAGTCTAAGCCTGCCACGTGTCTCTTACATTACAACCGGTTCACCATAACCGTCCAACGGCATTACAGTTTTGGAGGAAGCCAAAACGGTTCCTACTTCCAATAATTCAAATTGGTATATCAAAACCAATTTCAGGCACAACAAAACTGACATTCTATTGAACCGGAATGTTCGGTTAACAATGAAAAATCTACCATCACCAAACCGACCCAATTTGGTAATGGTATTGGTAGCTGATAAAAAAAAACAAAACTCTATACTGCAAATTGGAATAACCGAACCACAAAATCTGTAGACGCTATCGATTGAACCGGGAATTCGGGCACAACAAAACTGATCTTCTATTGAACCGGAATGTTGGTCTACAACAGAAACTCTTCTACTAAGACCTCATGGCCAGAGCAAAACTCATTATTTATCGGTTTATTCTGTATAAAGACTCTACTACCTCTACAGTAACAAAAAAAAGAAGACCAAAACTGAGAACTCTTCTCATCAAAGAGACAAAACGAACATAACGAATGTTGAGCTTATCAGTAGCAGAAGCCAAGCAAAGCCGCCTGGCTTCTCTGCTCGACCTGTCCCCTTCCCGAGGACAACGGCTACAACCGCGATAGCCCCAAAACCGACACAGATGGTGAACACGGCCACACCTTTCTTCTCCATCCACTCCATTCTTTCCAAAACTTGCTCCAACCTCTCCATCACTTTCTCCTTCTCATTCTCAGCCTTCTCAAGCTCTTTCTCCACTCTCCTCCGCCACACTCTCATCTCCATGGTCTCATTCTTCATCTTCTCTTCCCTCTCCTTCATTTCCTCTACCTCCAGTCTCATTTTCCCCACCTCCTTCTCTCTCTTGCTCGCTTCCAGATCCATCTCCTTGAATATCTTCCCGTATCTCGAGCTCAGTTCCTCCAAGTAACTCTCCAACACTGATAAGCTCAAGTCTAAAGACCTTATCTTCTGCATCAGTATCTTCAACACCGTGTCCCCTGGCATTCTGCTTCCTGGTTGATGTTTTATCTCTTCCACCGGATCTGGCAGCTTTTTTCTCTCAGTTGGTGTTTCAGCTTTCAAAACCGCAATCTCTGGTAAGGTTTCTTGTTCCTTCTCCTTCTGTTTACCCCTGTCTTCATCGCTTTCAGAGGACTCTGTCGCTTGGACAGGCTTCTTCTCTTTCTGCTCAGTGTCTCCCTCTTGGGTTGGTCTCAATATGTTTTTGTCTTGGATAGATATTAAATCCTCCAGCATTCGTTCTACAGCATCCACTCCGTAGACTTCTAACAGACTCAAGGTGCAGTAGAATTCTGAACCGTAATGGCTTAGGAAATTTAGCTTAAGATATCTCACCCATTTGGGATCCACGAGGGTAAAATTCTGCTCGTGCTTCATGTTTAAAGCCGTGAAGTTCCCTAGATGAACCCAGGTGTCAGTTGGATAAACCAAGGTGCCTAGAATCTCAAAATCCTTAAGATTGGAAGAGTAATGCTCGAAATTTGCAATCTTGATTGTGTTCACCAACGTTTCTTCTGAAAGTTCTATGACAACGAACTTCCCTTCGGTGGAACAAGGATTTCGAAGGTACTTGTCTTTGTCCCGGCTTATGATGCTTGTAGCTCCTTTTGCTTCCTTGTTAGAAGATAAAACCTTTGCGCCTTTTGAAGCAGCTGCATAATTGTACTCTTTCCCACCAGGCTCCATCCTGTGAATCACGCCACTGACTTGGCCTGCCAAAGATTTGTCTTTAGAGTTGGACACTCTGCTCCTGAACTCATCAAGGCCAAGCGGAACAGCACGAGGCAGCTGATCAAGCTTTGAAGCACTAGTCTCTGTATCATTCACTGGATCTGTGTTATTCTTGATCATCTCTCTTTGCTTCAAAAACTCATTCTCTTTGCTTTCTGTAAAATTTCCAGCAAATGTACTATCGGCTTCTTTTTGCTTTGATATGATTTCTGAGTTTTTGATTTCTTTAGCTGTGGCTATATCAACATCCGGGCTTAAATCAGGAGTAGACTGAACAGAGGCAGACTCTAGTGATGGAGCATCAACAGGTTTAGCTGTCTCATCTGCACTAACATCATCTGTATCGATTAAAGACCTGCCTGAAAATGCCCAAGAATAAACTATTAATAGGATTACGATACGGGAAACAAAATAAATACTTGGTATATACACATTCATGATTGTCATTTATCAAATGTTACCATCAAGTTTGTTCATAATGAGGGTTAAAGGTCAGATTTTTAAACGATTTTCATCCAAATTCGGAACTTAAAAAGGTTACCTTTGTCACCATCTCCATGACTAATCCACAATGTAGAAAGAAGGAGAAGCCCCCATATGAGAAAAACCAGAGACAACGAAACTTTGTAGAGACGATTCCTTCCATTAGAAGTATTCTCAGAAACTCTTCTTCTAACCAGAAGAGCTCTCCGTGATCTTTGCATTTCACATCCAGTCAAGAATCAGATCACCCAAAAAAGCTATATGAATAGTGCACACCTGTGATTAGCGATCCATATCAAATACACAAGTAAAGCTAGTTCTATAACTACACCAGCCAAATAGAGATTTATAGATTCAAGCAACGACAATAGAGAGCACGAAGGAAGCTAGCATATCATGTACATACCCAAATGATTTCAAGAAGCTAAATCGAACAGAGAAGATGATATAGTCGAAGGAAAGGTAAAAAGAGAACGACCCAGAAAAGAGAATTTCCCATTATCAGATCCAATTGCGGATACGAGATTGAAAAAGAATAAGACGATAACAAAATTGACCGGAAATTAGTCGGAGTAAGAATTACCTGAGAGCGAATCGGAGAAAGAACGAGCGAGAGAAACAAACCCTTCTCAACGCCGCCGTCTCCGATGGGTTTCCGATCCTTTAAATCCCGGTCGATGAAATTCCGGCGATCTACCGCGTCTCTGCATCACAATCGACGAAACGCACCTCAATCTCTGCCACTTTTTTCAGGGGATTTATAGAATTCGAATTTACACCAAATTTTTTTTAACCGTTGTGGTGTAAAAGGAAAGGAGAAGAGTCAAAAAGGAGACTTTCAAAATGAAAACCCGCGGAATCTGTAGAGTCGACAAGCACTGATCCGCGAAGACAATGGACAGAGATGGAGAGAGAGATGGGTATAGAAAGACTTGGGAAATGTATATAAGATGGTACCGGTCCAAGATTTTTGAATTTAGCAATTAATTGTTTTCTACTTAATTTAGTCATCTCCTTATTATAAAGTTACCTTACCTTATAATCAAAATATGTGCTTAGCTGTAAACAGAAATTTTAAATTTTAAAAATAAAATCTAAAATAATGTTCTTATCTTTACGTTTTCTCAAGATATTATTGGATTTCCCTATTCAGATCTTTCTCTAGATCCACCTGCCCATGCATGAATATTTTTTTTTTTTGTAACTGATTTGATTGGTCGAAATCGAATGGTTATAGATAATTTACCCTTTTTTTATTTACCCAGATGTGAATTAACCATATACTATGGTGTACACTGTACACTGACTACACTATTGGCGGATCTTAAACAACTAAATTTATCGAATTTAGATGATTATTACCTCAAGAAACCAAATCACTATATTCCACTTTCCTCATCCACTTCACTTTCCTCCCAAAAAATAAAGTAATCCTTGCAAAAAACTCTTTCAAATTTAGCCACTTTACCTACCTCAAACCCTCGGGCTTCAGCTATTTTCTTTAAGAAAAATCAGGTAACTTTAAACCCTTTTCTCAAAAACTTGTAACTTTTTTATCCTAGGGAGGTTCCCTAATTCAATAATTCAAAATCCAAAAAATACAAAAATAGTTTAGATTGAGAAAGACGGTCGGAATTTAGGAGATGGGACCCATGAGTCTGACTAGTGATTGTGGAACTACGTGGCGTAAACAGAGCCAGCTTGGATTGCCCCCATCTCCTCCGACACCTGGCGGGTTTCTCTGCGTCGACCTTGCCTTGGCCGACCTGTAACATTATATAGTCTTTTAAAAAAAAAAATCAAAGTCTTATTTTATTAAAAATCAACAGTATTAACGATTTCCATGTAGCTTAGCTATGAACGGCCTGGTTTAAATATTTAGGCACACATCTTAAGATTGGGCCCATTAATATTGGGTCTTAGCCCACTAACAATCGGTTTACATTTAAATTACTTGTCCCTTACTGATTTTCACGTTCGGCTTGGGCCAACGGATCTAACTAACCATTTTCCTAAGGGAAAAGGAAGAAAAATAACAAAGGAACTACACATCGGAAGCTAGAAAGTGCGTGGCGGATTCAATTTCAAGCCGATCTACCGGCGGCGAAATATGCCAAAGGTCCGACGAAGGCGGCGTTGATGTAAGTAGCAGGTTCCGAGTGGCTGTAATCGTCTCTTTGATCTGGATACCCATCGTTTTGATTTGGGCCACCTACGATTGCTCCTGTGAGAATGTTCGGGTTAGGGTTTTGAGTGTAAAAGGATTGGAATCCGCCGTTGCAACCCAAGGATTGTGAGCGTAGTGCGTGGGAAGGAAGAGACGATGCTCTGTGGTGGATTCTCTTGGGGAAATTAGGTCCGAATCCAACCATGTACGACATTTTGATTGGGTTGTCTCCGAGTATGTAATCCACTTGTCGCTTCGATACGCTTATCAGAGCATCTGGGACGATAACGGAGTTTCCGCAGGTGAAAGTGTTTCGCGTGGCTTTCATGTACTTGGCGTAAGTCGTGAGCAAGAATGTTATGGCAGTTACGTATTGCAGATTGCTCTGAGGTAACTTGTACATTAATCCTCCTGTAATTGGTAATCATGATCAGAGGTTGTCGTTAATTAACGTTTTGGATTCAGAGGAGGAAACATGCTATATCGATTCTTGTTGAGGAACGTGTGTTTAAGTCACCTTGAGTGTATTGTGTAGAGGAGGAAGGAGAGTTTGGAAGGATCTTGCACATGAAATTCTCAGCTGCTTGCTTGTATGGTTCAAAGTTGCTGTCTTTATTAAGTAATGCTCGCTGCAAAATAGTAATAACAAGCTCTGCGAATTAGTGAGTCAAATAGTGTGATCCTAAGCTATATGCTTATCGACTTTTTTCTTTGATAGCAGCGAGACACACCCGTGAGAGAAGAACATAGGCACCAGCATACTTATTGTCCCAGCTGAAAATGTCAGGCTGATCTCCACCTCCTAAAGATTGTATGAAGTTTGCATAATAAGGGTTATTGGTTGCTTTCAACAACCACGACGCTCCCCACATCAGTTCGTCCTGTCATCATAAGTTCACAATTAATATTTAGGACCCGATTTAGTGATTAAAGTGGTTGCAAAGTTGCAATGATTCATTGTGATTTGGAAAGAGATGGAACATATGAAATCAGACCTTGTAACCAGAGTAGGAGCAGTAGAAAGGACAGACGGATGAAGAAAGGGAATCACTGTAAGCGCCTCTGTACTGAATTGCAAACTGCATCACTTTCTTAGCTGTTGCCAGAAGCAAACGCGAATACTTGGAATCAACTTTCCTGAAAACCATGGAAGCTGCAGCCAGAGCTGCTGCGGTTTCAGCTGCGACATCAGAACCAGGGTTAGAAGAGGAAACAGAGTAGACTGTACGAGGTGTGTCCATGTCTTCAGGCCGTTCCCAGCATTTATGATCAACATTAGGATCTCCTACCCCAACATAAAGCTTGCCCGGAGTGGCTCTTGCACATTTCAGGAGATAATCCGTTGCCCAACGGATGTTCACACGTGCGTTTTGAAGCTCAGGACCTAATCGCTTGCCGTACTCAAGTGTGCTCCATGAGAGCATCGTGGTGGTAAACGCCATTGGGAAATTGAACTTGATGTTGTCTCCTGCGTCGTAGTATCCACCGGTTAAGTCCACCTGCAATCCATATTAAATTCTCCTGCTTGATTAGCTATCAATGTTACTGAGAACGATATTTGACTATTACAGGTTTCATGGTTTTTGAGGGTGTACATGAGCGGAGGAACCATCGGAAAGGCCGGAGCTAGCCCTCCAGGAGAGTTGTTGGTCTCTAGGGAGACGACCGGATCGCTGACCTTGGAAGAAGAGCAATGACTTGGAGAGAGCTTCTCTGTAATTTGGATTGGCATCAACATTTCCCATGAAAAGAGACGAGAAAAGGAAAACGAAGTAGAAAGGAGAAGTCATTTTCCAAAGACGGAGAAGTTAATTACTTTTTGAGTTTTGAGGTACGAGTCTAAGATAAGAAGGTCCACATATATATACACAGAAATGGGGGAGAGAGAGAGATGCAGAGATAGGAGAGAGATTGATCCGGCGCTGATGGAAGCGATAAATATGGCTTTTTGGGACAAAGTAACCTTCATCAACCTTAATTTCTCCAATCTAAATCTTTTTTTTTTAATTCTATTTTCTGGTTAATCTTTACCTTAATTTATCCGACCAAATCCCTTTTTTCTGTCTGTCTTTACCTTTGTTTATCCATTTAAATGGTTCTTTTTTACCTTTATGTCAGTTGTTGGATCTTTTCATGAAGTGTTGAAAAAATAGACTATTTTGTCACAAAGAACAATCGGAAAATGGAATAAAACTAGGTTAGCCATTAGAGGGCATTGGGAAGCAATAAAGTCTTAATGGTCTCTCCTATTTCCAAAGGAGCAATAGTATTTGTCTAAAAGCGTCCACACGAATGAACGAAATATAAACGCACGTAACGACTTTGCGTCTGCCTAAAAACACAGTCTGATAGTCAAAAGCTAAATGCAAAAGTGGGATTAGTTTTTAAAAAGATTTGAATTTTAGGGAGATTTGTGATATAAACGCATTCAGAAACTGCTTGAATCAAATCTTGTTGTAGTTACTAAGCTGAGCGATCTTATAACGGTGATAAAATACCTTGTCCGTTATATTTTTTTGAACATTGGTTATAATATATTTTCATTTATTATAAAAAAAAACAAATTCAGAAAGAAAATAAGACTGAAGTTTGACTTCATTTACTCCTTATTGAGAAATTATTACATTACATGTTTATTTTGTATTTATTTTGATGTTTACTTACTGCTTAATAAATTATATATATGGTTAGTTTGAGTTTCCGTTAAGGATGAGGATAATTAGATATAGTGAGAATATGCAATGTATGATCTTGCATGTATAAAAAAAGGCAATTGCCTTAGGCCACCAAAATTTGTTCTAGTTTTAAAGGCCGCATTTTTTTGTAATTTTAATCAAAATATGTAAGATACATGATTTTGTTTGTTATATAACACTATGTAATTATATATAAGTGTTTGAGACACAACTACAATAAAAGTATTATGATGTTTAAAATTTTGTTTTGTTTAAAAAACTATAATAGTATTAACATTAAATAAATTATAAATGAAAATACATATTTAAACATATTAAATAACAGTATATTTTAAAATTTGCCTTACACCTCCATAAGGCTAGGCACGGCACTGGTGATCATATGTTGGTTCGGGATATAGTTAGGTAGTTTACAGTTAAATTAGGTTAGGGTTTTAAGGGATTTTTGATAATTTGAAAAGAGGAGACAAAAGATTAGAGGGAAGCGTGAATGGCGCCAAGATAACGGCGCCGAGTCTTGGGACTTAATCAAAAGTGTTTAGTGTAATGGAGACGAAATTGATGCCTTAATCCACTTTACGTACTATATGTCCCTCTTTTTATGCATGTTAGTTTAACTATTCTTCGACCTCCCTCTTTATTTGCTTTTTTCCAGGGACATTCTTTTAGTGTTTAATTTGTGTAATAGCATAAGCGAATAAAAAGTGGACAACGTGTCTGCTCGACGTCATTGATCTCATGACATGACATGAATTACTACAATGATTATTATCATGGAGTATAATATATTTACCACGGTTTAAGCAGACGCGTGATGAAACATTAAGGTGGATATAAGTAAAAGTTAGTGATTGTAATCATTTGATGTCACTAATCGACTCAAATATCAAATTATTTATATTTTCTCCCCCGTAAAGATAAAGGGTTTGCATGAGACTAATGGAAGATGATATCTCACAAATAAGCAACAGCATTCTTTATTCTTTCTCTCACACATGCTCAGTCTTTTATAAGGGCATGTCTAGTGGTGAGTTCCATGGAGGAGTTCATCAGATTAAAAAATTATTATTTTGTGCGGGTGTAGTTTGGGAAGAGACTCGTGTATAATTCGGGTTCTAGTAGGGTTATCCGGAATAAAATAATATTTTTTTAAAATTAAAAAAAAAACATTTATTATTATTGAAAATACAATATATTACACATAATCTTAAAAATATACAACAATTTATTACACATAACCTTAGAAACATACAATATTTGAATTAAAAAAAAAACTTAACCAAATTTAGTCTAGATATTTTCGATTAAATCATCTTTCAAACGGTCATGTATTTGTCGGTCACGGACTTCGTTTTGTTTTCCCATCATCAAATTGAAAACATTTGTAGGCATACGTGTGGAATACGTCCTATCAATATTAATATTTCTGCTTCCTTCTTCTTGTTCTAATTCTTCTAAATTGGAATTCTCCTAATCCTGCGAATTCGTAAAAAAAAAACGAGAACTGAAGAACAGATGATTACCTGGACGAGGAGACGGAAGCGCGATGCTATGATTCCCAACCCACCGGAAAATTTCACCGGTTACACGGAATCGAACGATTCGTCTTGAATTGCCGGAGAAGAAAACACGAGAGAGCAAAAATATTGGGGAAAGAGAAATGAATTTTCTATCAAACTTTTTTTTTCCTCCCGTAAAATTATCCCAATTTTCGTCCAATACCATACGGCCACGTGGATAAGAGACGGGTTCATCAGGTTCAACCGGATGAACCGATCCGTCATAAATGGGCTATTTTTCAATTTTTTTATTACAATCTACATCTGATTTCGAGCTCACAAAATAGGATGAACCCCCACTGGACATGGCCTAACCCTTATCTATGGCCCTACCAAGTGATACCACTCGAAGAATTTTCATTGGATTTCGAAACTCATGGTTTTAAAAAAAAAAAATTCTGTACTAAAATGGTGTTTCTTTATCTTCTTCGCTAGATTTTTACTACTATTTCATTTTCATGTTGTTACTTCTGAATGGATTTCACATTTGGTTGTGAAGGACATACATTGGGTTGTTTCCTCAGCTATGCTCTATGATTAATTTTTTTTATTTTTTATTTTAAAAAGAGTATGGGTTAACTAGTATTGCAGCGTAGAATTAGAATAATAACTTCATATATAATCTTATGTTAAATACCATTATCGTTTAATTCAAAAATAATTGAAAATTTGTGAATTCTTCCATATCTTTTGATATAACTTAAGATCTCATATATTGATATGTGAATGTGATTCTTAACGTACTTTGGTTAAGGTTATCTTTTAAAAGTTTTGGGGTTCAAGAAATCAAAGTCAAACATAATCATATTCTCAGCTTCTCCAAAAATAAGAGTTGCAAGAACAAGAGAACTTCTGAAAACGTTAAATCTTTCTATGGAGGAACGATAAACTGTTGGGGAGAATCATGAGCGTCAACTTACTGCGAATTCATTGGTATTTTTGTTTGAGCCAGAAATTTCACGAATACAGTAGGATTTTGTTTTTGGTTATTTAAAAAAAAAAGAATTTAATCCTAATGGGTCGACCGAGATGCGTTAAATACTCTTTTTTTTTCTTGTCACAAAATGAGTTGATTTATGATATATTAATAATAGTTAACCACTTGATCCATCACTATTTAGTGTTAGTATCATTAACAATTTTGTCTGTTTGTTGGTATGGGTATTTATGAGACCGATAGAATAGTTGTATGTCAAAAACATATGGTTACTAAACCTTAATTAAGAGATATTTTGATGAGAATTGAATGAATCCACTGGTTTTTGTGGAAAGTTTCAAGACAAGTGGTACAATTCATTTATGCAAAACCAACCGAATTCAATGAGTTGACGCAAGACTTGCTAAGTCACAGCCCCACTAAAGAATTTCCTCTTCTTTTAAAAGAAAGCAATTGAAGCATACAACATAACACATTACTATACAAGTCACAACACAAACTTAAAATAAAAAAAAGAGAGAGATGATGGCTAGAAGTCATTTTTATTGCTTTGTTGCTATCATCACTACCATCTATTTCTCCCTCCTAATCCACATTCTTGCTTCTCCTACGATCCACATTTGCCGCAATGACCAGAGAGATGCTCTTTTGGAGTTCAGGGACGAGTTTCCCATTGATGAGTATAACCCAAGTTCTTGGAACAAGAGCAGTGATTGCTGTTTTTGGAATGGTGTCACATGCGATAATAAATCTGGCCAGGTGACATCACTTGACCTTCATAACACCTTTCTCAGCAGCTCCTTGAAAACTAACAGTAGCCTTTTTAGACTCCAATATCTTCGTCACTTAAACCTTAATGGTTGCAATCTCACAGGAGAGATTCCTTCTTCACTAGGAAACTTTTCTCGTCTAATACTTGTTGATCTTCGTTCTAATAACTTGGTAGGTGAAATTCCTGCTCCAATAGGCAATCTAAAGCGGCTAAGATACCTTAACCTTGAAGGTAACACTCTTATAGGAAAAATTCCAACTTCAGTTGGTAATCTAAACCAGCTAAGATATCTAAGCCTTGCGGCTAACGAGCTCACAGGAGATATTCCTTCTTCACTAGGAAACCTTTCTTGTCTCTTAGATCTTAGACTTTCAATTAATAAGCTTGTAGGTGTTGTTCCAGCTTCAATAGGAAATCTAAAGCGGCTAAGATACCTTAGCCTTGGGGATAACACTCTTACAGGAGAGGTTCCAGCTTCAATCGGCAATCTAAGCCAACTAAGATACCTTACCCTTGCGGCTAATGAGCTCACAGGAGAAATTCCATCCTCACTAGGAAACCTTTCTCGCCTCTTAGATCTTAAACTTTTGATTAATAAGCTTGTAGGTGCTGTTCCAGCTTCCATAGGAAAGCTTAAAGAACTAAGAGTCATGTCCCTTGGAAACAACAACTTAAGTGGTAGTATTTCTAAGTTGTTGACCAACTTGACCAAGCTTTCTCATTTGAGCCTCTCTTATAATAACTTCACATCCACGCTTCCATCAGACATGAGTGGATTCCACAGCTTGGAGCATTTTGATGTTACTGGAAACTCATTTATCGGGTCTTTCCCTAAATCCTTGTTCACCAATCCCTCGTTACAAGTTGTTTATTTGGAAGAAAACCAGTTCATAGGACCTATAGAGTTTCCCACCATTAATACCTCTTCATCATCATCTCCTAAGCTAGAAATTCTATACCTTGCTCGTAACAAATTCGATGGCCTAATCCCTGAATCCATATCTAAGTTTCTCAACCTCGGAGAGTTACATCTTAGCCAAAACAACTTCACTGGAGCAATCCCTAGATCAATGTCAAAGTTAGTCAACCTTCGTTATCTTGATCTTTCCAAGAACAAGATGGAAGGTCAAGTACCAGGTTTCTTATGGAGATTGACAACGATGACGCTTTCTCACAACTTTTTCACCAGTTTTGAAGACTCCTCCTCACAAGAAACACTCATTGAAGCGTTGGATCTGAATTCAAACTCATTTCGAGGACCATTTCCACGTTGGATCTGCAAGATTAAAGGGTTAAGCTTCTTAGATTTGTCAAACAACCTCTTCAACGGCTCGATTCCTCCATGTTTAAAAGACTCCATTGTTTCTTTCACAGACCTGACCCTGCGTAACAACAGTTTCACTGGAACTCTTCCTGATATATTTGCCAACGCTACCGAGTTAAGATCATTCGACGTTAGCCGTAACAAGCTTGAAGGAAACTTTCCAAAGTCTTTGATAAACTGTAAAGCTCTGCAACTTGTGAACGTGGAAAGCAACAGATTCAAGGACAAGTTTCCATCATGGCTTGGATCTCTGCCTTCATTACATGTTCTCAGCCTCAGATCAAACGAGTTCTCCGGTCCATTATATCAGCGCCACGTGTCCATTGGTTTCCAGAGTTTGAGAGTCATCGATATCTCACATAATGACTTCACTGGAACTCTCCCACCTTACTTTTTCTCCAACTGGTGTCAAATGACCACGTTGACTGATGAAGACGACCGTTACATGGCAGATATCATCAACTATTCTATCTTTTATCGTAACTCGATGGGAATGGTGAATAAAGGAGTAGAGACGAGCTTTGAGAGGATCAGACAAGACTTCAGTGCCATTGATTTCTCTGGAAACAAGTTTTATGGCAAAATCCCTGAATCTTTGTGCTTCTTGAAGGAACTGCGTCTTCTCAACTTGTCAGGCAATGCCTTCACTAGCGATATCCCGAGGTTCTTGGCAAATTTGACAAAGCTCGAGACGTTAGACCACTCGCTTAATGAGCTTTCAGGTCAAATCCCTCAAGATCTCGGTGAACTCTCTTTTCTGTCGTACATGAACTTCTCCCATAATCTTCTTCAGGGACCAGTGCCACGAGGCACACAGTTTCAAAGACAGAAATGTTCTTCATTCTTGGACAATCCTAGACTCTACGGTCTCGAAGAAATCTGTGGAGAAACCCATGTCCCCAATACTATGTCACTGCAACCCGAGGAATTGTCAGAGTCGGAGGAACAACTGTTCAACTGGGTAGCAACTGCAATAGCTTATGGACCTGGTGTGTTTTGTGGACTGGTGATCGGACATATCTTCACTTCACACTATCATGAGTGGTTTACATGAAATTTGGTCGGAAAAAAAAACTATGAGTCGCCATAAGTGATCATTAATTTCATATATAGCAGTAGCTCTAAGAATTTCTTGTCCAACGTCTTCTTGTTCGTGTTTGTACTGAGTCTTCTTTTTGTGTTTGATTGTAGTTTTCTTCTAATGGAATTTGTAATAAATAAATAAATGTCTTTAGTGTATTTACTTGAAAAATGTATACGAGAACTTCCTCCTACTCAAATCTTCAACATGTGTGGATGTGGTAGTCTACATAGCTCAGTGAAAAGTCGTCTTCTCTTACATATAGACCTCACGTTTACTTGTGTTTAACTGGTATCTTATGATTCTTAGAGCAGTTTACGATCATGACTCTATCTATATACAAACACTGATTTTTAGTATCACCGACAAACACTCTGATTTGCAGTTACTCATGCGAATTCTAAAAGACGAATGGAGAGATTCCGAAATTTAAAAGATAACTCAACTTCATATTTATGAGGGATCCAGCAACGGCAGAAAAAAACGTGTACATGAAAATAGCATAGCAGGTGTAAAAAAATATAATATGGTGGAAAGAAGAAAACAGAACAAAATTTACACAGTTTTGAGAAAAGACAAACAACCTGGAAACCTGAAGCTGTATTAAACTGGAAGAAGCTAATCCCATGAGCTGTTTACTATGCATCACAAAACCACCGTGTGTATATGCCAATCTTCACAACACGACCCCACAACAACCTCGAGAAATCATGATTAGAGCCCTGGTCATAATAGGTCCAATAGAGATGGCTGTGAACCACCATTGGGCTTTGAGATAGATGTGCCAGTGCCACCTCTTCCTCTTCCCCTTCCTCTTCCCATAGCTATTGAAGGTGGTGGTGCGAGTTTCAGTGCGGACTGCTCGGTTTTGCTTGAACCGAATATGGAGCTGATGTCTGCTGGCTTTTGATTATTGTATGAACCACTGGTGAAAGATGGCATTCCTTGGCTCTGTTTTGGTAACCCGAAGGAGTTTATTGGATCTTGATTACTTGCAGAGATATTTGAATTCCCCTGCTGAGGTGGTTTCAGTGAAGACAAGGAGGCCTTGCTGAATGCCCAGCTGTCACTGTTAGCTGCCTGAAACTGCGTGCCGTTTGTTGAATTGTTGCTAAAACCAGATGCATTAGAAGCAACAGAAGCACTATTGGGACGTGGAGGCCAATCAGCAAATGGATCTAATTCATCGAAACCCGGAGTAAATGAAGTCCCAGTGTTTAGTTGTGTCTCATCATCAGTTGCTGGAGCAGTGAGGCTTGAAGACTGTCTTGGAGGCCACTCGATGTCCACTGGAGGGCATGTGGTTGGCGCTGTTGCATTGTTGGGCAAATTAGACATGATCGATGGCTGTGACTGATTTGTGGATTTGTTAAACTGATTGTTTGTGCCGTGATGAGAAGACACGGAATTTCCCAAAGCAGAATCTTTGCTCGGGGAACCCCAATTCTCATCCCAAGCTGGACTGCTTTTGGCTGCAGAAGCAACCTTCTCAGGTGTTTGGGTCGATGATTGAAACTGGACTCCATTGGCAACAGAATTTGGTTTCACCTCTGGGATTCCAGAATCATTCACTGTAACTCCTCTTTTTTCCTCTATTTTTCTGTTCCATGAGACACAAGCAGATACATAAGCAAGACAACTACATTACGCAGTGGTAAGTGCGTGAAAACATTATTTCACAAGTGCTGGCTGAGAATAGCAGGCATACCTGAGAATATCCTTGACAAATAGCATATATTTAGCAAACTGCTGGACATTCAGTTGTTGGGCAGTGAGAAGCGGCATCATCAGGGTAAGCACATGTTCTGCTGTGAATTCAACTCCATACTAGAGAACAATGATGGAGAATGCTGCTTATGAGATGTGATGCTACCACATATAAAAAAAGGGGAAACTCAAGACGTTCAAACTTGAAACATTAAGGAGAAATTTGAGCCTGTTTCTTACCTGTTTTAGAATTGCGTTTGCGACAGCAAGGGTACACATAAGGGTAGGTGCAGAACGATCAACGGCAGTACAACGCTGAATTGTTTGCAGAATTTCAATAACAGCAGGTTTATCAAGCGTCTGAACCAGCTCTGCTAGGCAGAGCAAAGCATTTACTCTGACCTGAACAACAAGTACATTCAAATCAAAAATTTCAGAAGACGGAATCGGTTTATTTTATCTTTTTCTAAATTTTTTTGCTATTAACGGAAACTAGTATAAAAGGGGAAAAAAAAATTCCGCTGGGATAATCAAGCAAGGCATAACTTACCGCAGCGACTGTAGTTTTGAGAGCCAAGCCATGAACGCGAGGCAAAATTGCTTGCTTTACAACCTGGAAAATCGAGATGGGAAACAAAATAATAACTACAAGAACTCATCGAGTGTAATGGACTCTGAACAACCACAGAGCGACAATATCACTGTGCAAGCCACACATCAAGAAAAATTGAATTCATCCATGATCCAGACAAAAAAAAATCTTCTAATAAATAAAATTCAAACAAAGAATTGAGCATCACCTGACCATCGAGTTGCTTAGCGACAGATGTAGATCTTTTAAGAACTTCCTCCTGTATGCGGACATCATTGTCATTGTAGGCTCGGAGAAGCAAAGGAAGAACATGCGACACTAGGTGCTCGCTATCAGTCTGAAAAGTTTAACAAAAACATAAGCCAAACAAGGATCTCACCCTGTATGCAATAGAAAACAAGGGAATGTGACTCCAATGCAACTGGTATTTACAAACAATAGCAGTCCTCTAAGGTCAATCTGGAAGCTTTCAACACAAGTCAGAAATAAATGTCACAACGATATGCGCCTGACTAGATCTGTTTATGGCAGCACATCTGCTACACAGAGCCATACTTTACACAGAAATCCTTTATCCCATCCTACTGTGTCCAATCAGAAGAACTTAAGCTACATGTGTATGGTAAGACAATCATAATTCACATTGATTAACTTTACCTTGTTAGTAATAAGCTCTGCATGCTTTACAAGCAGCAGTAATGTGTCTCCGGAAGCAGTACTCAGAACAGGAACAAGAGCCGGAAGTGTTATCAGCTCAAAGTCATTCCTATCCTGCAAATGTAGTTTAAGGTTTCAACATTCAAGCATTTAGTCAAACACCACTGCTGACACTCTAATGATCAAAGACCATTGCCAAAGAAACTTCCAACTTTTGAACTAAGTGACAAGTTGAGAAATAACTTGATGAAATATCTTACAACAAACACCATTTGTTACAACTAAAAAAAAAGGGAGAACCTGTGATCTGATAGACATGATAAGGAAAACTACTTTTATCTAGAGCAAATCAACAACAATCTAGTGTGAAAACACATGGGACCTGATTAATCTGAACTTAGAATTACCTGAGACTGTGCTATAGTTAGAACCATTGGCAAGATTATTGGTTGCAAAACCAAATTCCTAAGTTCAGCACAAAGTGGTGGAAGCACCTGCAAGATAAAACAAGGTTTGAATCGTTGTTGCAAGACATATCATTTGAGCATCAAAACTTTTACTATCAAGTAACAGGATACGCCAGTAAAGTGACTACCTTATACCGTAATACACGGGAATCAAAATCTTTCCACATGTCTGATAATGCTTTTAGAAACTCAGACTTCTGCATGTTATCTCTTTCCTGCAATAAACAGAAAATGCCGAAAAGGTGATCAGATGTGGAGACACATTTTTATCATCTACGTACAGTCACAATGATTGGAAGTGTATACACGTACAAGCATATGGTCAAGGAATCGGAGAGCACGTAACCTAGCATCGCTTCTGAAAAAATTCGATCCTGCAGAGTCAGAATTCAATGCAAAGATGTAACTAACAAGAAAAAGAGAAAAAAATTCGCAAGAAATAAGGAAAGCTCGTCAAGATTATGTCCACTTACCCGTGAAATCTAATGCTGTTGGTCTAAAGGACTCGTTCATTGATAGCATCCTTTGCAAATCAGATACCAAGTCCGAGGGTATAGATGAGAAAGATTCATTTGTTATATAGTTCAACGTGTTCAGGTACTGCAAGAAATTTCAAGATAACCCTCATCAACTGTGAGAAAGTCAAAGAAATATAATTGTTCAACTGCATAACTAATACTACTCCAAAGACATACCACATGATACAAAACATATCAGACCAAGAAAAACCCTGAAGATACAAAACTAACGAGCTCGGGTTTTAGGGTTACCATCTTGACATTGTTATTGCAGTCTAGCAACGGTTTCCGAGCAACTAAATGATAGGCAAGGCATCCAAAACTAAAAATGTCGGACGAAGCTCCAGCTGAAGGACCTTTGCTGCGCACCAGTTCAGGTGCAGTGTAATTTAGGGATGGCTGGACAGGCAGTATTGAATCCTCGACGTCATATTCCTGCACGGTCCATATCAAAAGACAAACCATCACACATAAGGAGTTATTTCGCTTGTACAGTTGAATACAACAAATGGATAAACAGCAGCCCAATAATATGTCGAGTTTGAACTCACAGAATAGTGGAATGATTGCATGTTATCCAAATTCCCAGCCTGTGCTGTTGAAATAGCAAAGCCAAATCCGGCAAGCTTCCAAGAACCAGCTGAAGTAATAAGAACATTCTGCAAGGAAGTTAAAACTTCACAAGTTAAGAAAACATATACATACAACGTCCAAAAAGACAAGCAAGTGTGACTAATAATTTTGAGAAAGTAACCTCTGGAGATATGGCCCGATGGATGAGTTGGGCGTTATTGTGGAGAAAGTTAAGTGTCTCGGAAATCTGGAGCAAACCGTGCTTCACCTCCAACAAGCTCATCTCCTGCAAAATTATAGCAAATGATACACATTCAGCCATTTCCTCAATCAGTTTTAATAGCAAAAGTCGAAGGTGAATGAATCACATGAAAGAACATGATTGATAGAACGGATACATGACGCTAACAGAAAGCTCACCATTGACTTCAGATCTTTCGGCACATTAGCCACATTCTCAACATTCCCTAGCGCATTAGCCACGGAAGCGAAGAGCGGCTCCGTAACTAAAGCCATAGCATTCTTGTTCTCGTCAAGTGCCTGCACCACGTGTACCACACCGGGATGCCTCAACCGCACCAGCTTCCCAGCATCAGCTCGAATCAGATCAAGAAACGCGTCCTCGGCGGCTTTGGACAGCCCAGCTCGGACACGAGCCTCCGACAAAGCGCGCTTGTCAAGCATCCAGACGCAGACGGTCGGGTACTGCTGGGAGCGCGTGGGGTCACGCGCCTTGGCTGCGTATAGCTTCCAAGCTAGGCCAGGGCCAGCGGAACCGATCTGATCGAGGAGCTCGTAGTCCTGGAGAGGTTTCGGTCCCGTGACTTCCTGGACTGTGGTGTGAACCGTCTTCTCGATCACAGCCGCCGTTCTCGCCAGAGCTTGGGTCAGCGTTTTCATGTTAATCGACATTTCCGCCGGATTGGATGACAGTTGCTCCCTAAATGTTGTCGGCGACGACGTGAAAATCCGATGAGAGATCTACGAACAAAGCGGAGAGACGATTACTAATCCAACCAGAATCGAGGAGGAAGACGATGGCGGATAGAAGCCGAAGTCTGGACTCTGGATCGAAGATCAGATCGTCTTCTTCCCCTCACCTCTCTCACCTCTCTCGGCAACTTGTCTGTTTGATTTTTCTTTCTTTTTTTTTCATTAATTACACAACACAACAGTCTTTTCTCACTCGTTTTTTTTTAATTTTATTTATTTGCCAAATCAGTCCTTGTCCTTGTCTTGAGATGAAAGTAACATTAAAAATCTGACTTCAAATCTCAAGACTCAAGAAATAGCTCCTTGGGCCTTCATTGTCGGCGATTACCAGTAGTCATTACAGGAGCAGGAAGAATCTTTGAAATGATGAAACCGATTCGAGTCTCTCACAAGAATCTCTTTTCCCAAAAGCTTAGAAGCCAATTTCATAAAGTTATGGCAATCAATGCAGATCCTTATGTTCTTCATTATCTGTATCAAATTCACACAACCACCACCACCATCATCTGATCTTTTTCTTCCCTCCATCACCGCAAACGCTAAAGCCAGTTTCTCGCTGTGATGCAACAGATGCTCTTCCTTCTGTTCCTCTTCATCTATATCTTGCAAAGCTGACCTCATCTCTGGAACATAACCCATCTCCTTTAACCGACCAATCAGCCTTTCCAACTCCTTGTATATGGCTTCCCTGTCTCCACGGTGTTGTCCTCCCGATGCGAATTCATGAACTTTGTTTCCTATCTCGGTCCAGCTCAAGCCTGGTTCTTTCCTCACTCTCCATGTCTCCATCTCCTTCCTGCTTTTATCAGCTTCGTTAAAGCTACCTTCTGCACTGTATATGTTTGACATCTGGATGTAACTCAATGAGTTTGTGGGTTCTAGCTCTTTCAGCTTATCTGCCGCTAACTTACCCAACCGGGTGTTACCATGCTTCCTGCATGATCCCAATAGTGCACTCCAAACTACAGCATCTGGGTCCATTGGCATCTGCTTTATTACCTCTTCTGCCTCAGCAAAACGCTCAGCTCGAGCTAGCATGTCGACTACACAAGCGTAATGATTTAGCTGAGGAAGAGTTTGCTGTTTCTCGAACATGGATCTAAATATTTTCATTCCTTCTTCTACTCGTCCAGCGTGGTTGCAAGCCGAGAGAAGGGCTATGAAGGTAGCTGAATCGGGCTTGATGTCCATTTGCTGCAAGACTAGTAGAACTGAGTCTACCTGGCCATGCAACGAGTAAGCCTTGAGCATTGAGTTCCAGGACACCACATCTCGCGAATCCATATCATCAAATACACGCTTACACAAGTCAAGTGAGCCACACTTGGCATACGCATGGATTAACGAGTTGTTCAGCACCGTATCATTACCAAAACCACCTTTAATGACTTGAGCGTGTATAGTCAAAGCGTGGCGAGCAGTAACAAGTCCCGCACACGCTTTTAGTACACATGAGAAAGTATACCAGTCAGGACTTAGATTCTCGTGACGTAACTGACCGAAGAGATGAATAGCCCTCTCTGGATCATACACTGCAAACGCTGTGATAATCCCAGTCCAAGCAACAATGTCCCTACAGTGGCTCATTTCCATAAAAAGCTTGTAGCATTCACTAAAGTCCCCTAAAATTTCTGAATAAACCTTAACCAACGCAGTAGCCACTTCAGTCTGAGTTACAAACCCAGACTTTACAGTCAGAGAATGCAGCTGCAGACAACACTTCGAAACCTGATCAGGAACCAAGTCAGAGCTTTTGTACAAGGAAGAACATACATTCAGCAACGTGGCACGATCAAATCCGACTCCATCACTGTGCATCCGCATAAAAACACCAATGGCTTGTTTCCCGAGATTGCAGCACTGAAAAGCTGCAATCATTGAGTTCCAAGCAACCAAATTCTTAAACTCCATGGCCTCAAACACAGTCCAAGCCTCATATGCTGCGGCAACATCACGACACCTACCGTACATAGAGATAAGCGCATTCGCTACATAAATCTTACAATGCAAACCCAGTTTCAAAGCAAGCCCATGTACCTGCTTGCCAGGCTTATACCAGCACGAAGTCAACACGCTCGACAACGCAAACTCGTTAGGTAAGCAATGAGCTAACATAGCCGACAAAAGACAGAATCCTTCCTGCTCGTTCCCTGCCTGCGCATAGCCTGTAATCAGTGAAGTCCACGAAACTACATTCCTGTAATGCATTTTATCAAACACTTGGCGTGCGTATAGGATATTCCCACATTTCGCATACATGGTGATGAGGTGGTTAGAGAGGAAAATGTTCTGGGAATAAGAATTAGGTTGTGAAAGCATGTGGTGATGTAAGCTAACGCCATGGCGGAGATTTCGTTGGTCTGCACATGCTTGGAACAGAGCTGCGTAAGCCTTCTCGGACTGAATCTCGACCGGCGCAGAATAGAACAAGGAAAAAGCTCGTCGGAGATCACCGGAGCTCACTAACGTACGCAATCCTTTAACAAGTTCGTGTTTCAGTGCAGAAGGTGAAGCAGAGCTAAAGCGTCTCAAACTCCCAATAGAGATATGAGATACGCTTGTCATCATCGACGCTCCGAGTTCATTTACCGAAATATATAATTAAACCGACGAGGAAGATGATTGAAGCTCCGGCGATCAGTGGCACCTACCGGTTAAGACAAATTGTCAGACCCGTCGATGTTCTTCTTACAATTTTACAATTTTTCCATATTTTCGCAATTTTTGTTTTTTTAGTTCGACCGAAAAAAAGAAAATATCCTCTTTTATTAATGAAAATACACATAATTTGGAAACAATAAATTGAATGCTAGAACCTCTGCGAGAACCAAAACCCTAAAGCAATAGCGGCGATCTCACAGGTCGCCTGTAATATCCACCGACGCAAACTCCTTAATCTCACAGTTCTCTTCTTCTCCAAAGTATCGAAATCATGGAAGGAAAAGGAACTTCTAGAGATCTTCTGGAATTGGAAGACAAGAACCTATCTTCTTCTTCTTCATCTGCTTTAGAGTCGGCACTCTTGGTCTGTAAGGGGAAGAAGAAGAATAAGAATGTGAAGAAGATGGAGGAGGCTCCATCGAAGCCAACGATTGCTCCAGTTCCCAGAAGCGAATTTCTTGACAAAGTGAAAGGATTCATAGGGATCATGGCGGAAGCTAACAAACGGTTGGAGCAAGAAGCAGAAGGAAACTCGGAAGCTTTTGATATCGAAGCACTTACGGGAAACGAATCTCAAGTTATCGAAATGGATTTGATGCTCGGTGTCGCTGATCTCAACACACCTGAAGCAGTCAATGCAGCTGAGGCAGCTATTGCCGGCAATGGTCTTGCAGCTGAAAGTGGTGACTCCAGCAGCGATGAGAGTGATGACGACGACGACGAGGAGAAGAAGAGCTCTTCCGGTGAGGAAGGTAGCAGAAAACGAACCAAGATCATTGAGCTTTCATAAAAAGATGTTTCTTTTCTCAAATTTCAATATTTTACTTTGTATGAATATGAAATATTTTGCCTAATGTTATTGTTGAGAATACTACAATGCATCACTTGTGACATCATTTGTGATTGGGGAAAAAACAAAAACAACAGAACTTAGAAATCATAATTTATGGACTGTGTTGAAGTTACTTGCAAAAACAGATGGACTACACATAACTAAGAGATCAAATTCTCAAGTATGTGATGGTCTTAACTCTCTTCGTCGACAAGAATTGTACAGCCGTCACAGATTCCAACGTCAAATAATGTTGCTGTCTCGTCATCGACTGATGTAGGAAAAGGCGAGTTCTGCCATAAAAATACACAATTGTTCCATTGGTATGAACATAATAGAAATACGAAGAGTTCCTTTCAAGTTAATAACATTGTAAAGATACCTCTTCCTGCAGAAATAATCTTGTCTTGATGGACTTTAGCTTGAAAAGGTTCCTACATAAAATCTTTAGCTTCCCCACCTGTCACATACACCAATCGAAGGCTTCAATAAATAAAATTTCACATTTTCACAGTTTAGACATTAGATTCTCAACACAAAAGAAGAAGTAACAACCGTGATACTGCCTGGTAACTTCTCCGTCAGCTCAGGCTTCTCACCCATGGATGGACCAACGCTCTTGAGGGTAATGGCTGCATATATGTCATAGTGATATAAAAGCAGCTTCTATAGAATCAATGAACCATAATTAAGAAACGCTTAAAAAGACATACAAACAAGTCCAGATGCCATATTCTTGCGGCCGCTGTTCTCAGACGATGCTCTTTCATCCTCAAGTCCGTGAAGCTTCTTGAGTTCATAAAACCTGCAATATCACAAGCAGGGCACACTTTCTTATGTCAACTTCTTCCGGCAGAAACTTGTATGAAAAGAAGAAAACAGGATCCGGGTTTCCGGACACCAAAATATTAACCCTTTCTTGTTTTGTTTGTGAAGATAAGATTCAAAGAAGATATTCAGTTTTGCAAAATGTACCTAGGGTGGAGCAACTTAATCTCCTCAGACTTGTCATTTAGCTTTGACATCACCATTCGGACATACCTGTGATCATTTAAAACTAATCATAGTACTGCCACTGAAATCAAACAAAAAAATTGACCAAGAAGGGAGGGGAAAACTTTCCCCTGACCAGAAAAGATGATTTACCGGATCTCAGAATCCTTCTTCTCACGAGCTCTGACCTGGAAAAAAAAAACAACTTATTAAAGACCAATGAAAGGTAACAATATGTTTAACATTTTTGCAGGCACTTGTTCTACCTCACTCCCATTCAGCACTTGTACTTTCGTCAGCCGTGCAATGAGAACAAATCTCGGGACACCACCTCTTACAGGATCAGTTATTGGGTTATCCGAAAGCCTGATGTCCTATTACTTGAAGAGGGTAGTTCGGTTAAAGTACACGATCTTTAAAGGTCTACCTAGCTTTCATAAACAACATCTAAGAATTGGGAACAAAGAATTCCAGTGGGTAATTAAAGTGTATGCCTCTATAACAAGGACCATTATTAATATATAAGATATCACAGAACAAGAGATCAATACCACCAACTTAGGAAATACATTCAGTGCGTCTATCGAGGCCAGATCACCGATATTGTTAGCTCCTGAAAAAAAAATACATCGGGTGAGATAAATGGCCAAATTTCAAGAAAGAGGAAATAATACCTGAAGAGATTACCTAGAAGAAGACAATGGAGACTTGGAAATGAGTCGATACTTTGCTTTGGTGATTCATTGCCATTTACAGAGTGAAAGATGCGTGACAGCTTATTCTTATTCAGGTAAAGCTGCTCCAAGCTGAGAAATAACGTAGAGATGATCATATTATAACAAATATCAACACTGCATGTGTATAATGAGTCCATCAACTATGAGTAGAATGGAAATATTAATTTACTGACCATGGAAGTTGAGATAGCTTTAATACTTCACTCCATTCAGAGATACAATTATCATCCAAGTTCAGAAGTCGCAGAGAATTAAAGGCTTGATCATCTGACGATGAAATAGGCTGCAAGAAGCAACCAGGCGGGGAGGGGGGTAAAATGGGCCAGTACAAAAGGAGCTCACAATTTACAAACTGAACAACCAAGTTTTTAAAGCAGAAAATTTTTTGCTATGAGTGTAGTTCAAGTATAGTCATCAAAAAGACCAAACTGTTTCCAAGCATGTCCAGACTATATCCTACTTGGAGCAACTGAGCAAGCATTTGAACCACAAAATAAGACATTACCGCTATGGCAGATATCATGTTCCCCATCAGATGCAACTCCTCAATTCCAGGTAACGAGCGCCTAAGATTTTCAACCTGTTCCATGATGGTAAGAGCCACAAAAGTCGAAAACTGCGGTGGTGCACAATTAGTTCAGGAGCAAAAGTAACAGGTCAGGTAAAGAGTCACATCTCACCTGAGTCCAGCTCAGACCACTATTATTCAGAACCAAAACACGGATATTTTTTAACTGTGGAAGAGAGGTGACATCACTTGACAAAGAATTGCAAGACAAATTAAGGGTTGTAAGGGCTGGTAATTGTTCACAAAGAGCACCAATTTCCTGGAAACCAGAAACAAATGATCAATCATAAACTATAAATATATTAATGTCTTCCGCGTGATGTTGGATAAAATCTATACTGCAAATGTTGCTAGAAATGTCACAGAACAGCCAAGTAGCAACGACTGATACCTCCCAGTCAGAAATCAAGTTTCCAGTTAAGTCCAGCAGCTTCAAATCTGGAACAGGGGAAGCAAGTAATGTTAAAATCTGTTCATTTAAAGGCTTCTAGCAAGAAAAATGGTCACCCGAATGTTTTAATAGTGGAAGGGCTGAGAGTAGATTTAATCTTACTTGGTAGAAGTGAACCCAAGTCAGATGAAGCTCCAAGAGAGCTAACACCAAGATAAGAAAGAGAAGCACTCGTAAGCTCGTCAAACCGACTTAGCTTATCCTGGATCTTGTCCCCTCCCAGAAGTTGAATCGAAACACGTTTGTTTTTCGCAGAGAGAACATACATTTCGTCTAACAACAAAAAGAAGGAGATACATTATTTCAAAACCAAAACCACAATGATTGCTACGAACACCTAATTGCCTAACTATCACATTCACCAGGAAGCCTATCTAACCAAAGAAATGTGTGACTGAACAAAACTTTAACAGTAGAGGAGAGAATAAACGCAATGCAGACCTTCTTCGTCCTTAGTTGAAGTCGTTCGGTATCTGAGCTCCAAGGCTTGAAGCAGCGTGATACCACGGCTAAGATTCTGGGATCGAACAAAGGAAGCGGAGCTCTGAGAACGGCCGCTAAAGTAGAAAACGCCATTAACGGAACCGTCGTGCTTGCCATCGCCGTCTTGATCCCAATCAACGCCGATCCAGGTTCCGGAGTAACCCTCCACATCTCCGACGTACTTCACGGTGCCCACTCGACGCGGATCATTGAGCGAGTGCACTCGCTGCCCGATTCTAAAAGACTCGTTGCTCGACTCGGCCTTCATTTTTCGCAAATGTCCGATGGAGACGGAGTGAAAAGTTTGTATAATGTTGTAAATTGCCGTTTAGTGTAATGGGCTTACGTGGGCCTACAATTGTATAGAATGCTTCTATAGTTAATGGACTTAATTAAAGTCTAGTTAATAACATCTTTAATAAACAAAATACAAAAAAAAAGTCCACATGACAATGACGTCAAATTTTTTCTCAAGCCGACATTACGACGTAATACGTATGGTCAAAGGAACTTAAAGTCGGAGCTTTTGGCCTTGTTCGGACGAAAGGAGTGTACTTAAGTTTTTGGATTAAGATAATAAAGAACAATTAAGTCGTCAAAATAAGAATCCAGCTGCAACCCACCATTTAGTAGTATTAAGTTCCTCAAAATAGGAGTCCAGCTGCAATTCACCACTAATTCACATTAACGCACAACATATCTCTCTTTCTCTCGATTTTCATCTTTAAGAAATCCAATGAACATCATCCAGAGAACCACCACTTTTTTTTTCCTTTTATTTTAGTATTTTGCTAAATAGAAATCTTTAAACTCTAATCTTTTGAAGAGAAGAGTCTTAATTCTACAAAACTTGCATTTGAATATGTCGTTATTATTTTGTAGAATAATTTTCGCTATAGTTCTCAATACAAACAATATGACAAAATCTTACCGTTTAATAAAGAAATAGAATCATTAAAAAACAATCGTGATATGTAATCTAATATGGTTTGTATTGATACCGGTCGATTCAAATCCACATTATGTATAATGTTGGGGAAAAAGTCTCTGAATAGTAATTAAGGTATATGATTTATATGTAATGAATCAAAGCATACATCATTGAATCTTTTACTAGGAGGAGAGTTTTGGGTTCGATACATTGATTTCCTCAACGCGTAAGACCTCTATATTTTAGTGCTTACACTAACGAAACCCAAAGTACAGAAAAACAAACAACAAAGGAGAAAGAAGGAGAATCCATCAGATGTGAATACTGAATTACACTAATACTATCCTCAGATTTTTTCTTCTTTTTTTTTTTGTTTCATTGTTACGTCAGGTAATTTACAATAAGCATCATTAATTAATTTATCAAATAAGATAATTGAAGTCGGTGGTCTAAAGAAACTTTTGTTTTCTTCTGCTTCTAACTTTCTAAACTCTGTGAGTCTTACACATGTATCAACAACATTAGCTTTTTAAAAAAATTCTGTTATTGAAATTCATCTGTTTCTGTCTCCTTTCACCTTAACTTTTTATCTGCTGTCTTTCCCGACAAATAAAACAAAAACGTTTCTCCTTTCAAACCAAGACCATTCCCTCCTACGTTCTTGTAAAGCAGATAAGTATCTGATTTTGTACCCTTTCGCTCTACTAGTCAAACACAGAAAAAAATTATATTATTTGTGTCTAAACCTTAAACTAAAAGGATTATACTATAACAAATAAATGAAGTATATATAATGTTCTTCCGGCCGGAACCACAAAGAAATCTAACATTTTTTCACAGAGAATAGGCTAATAAGTACCAAATGCTTGCAACAATCAAAATTAAATGTCTACAGATTTACAACGGCAAAATTTTGATCAGAGCTGAATCGGCGGAAACTTAATTGTTATGTGTAAATTAAAGTTTCTAAATACCTAAAAGTGATTGTTACAAAACCAAAGAAATGGGTTGTCTGATATATCGATCTTGTTAGACTTACCTACAATTCCTAAAATCTCATAGGAAGAAATAAAGTTATACACTGTAGGAAAAAATGTAGGATTTTTTTTTCTCTATTGATTATTTTAAGTGGCGGAAAGACCCTGTTTTTTATAAATAAAAATAATAAATAATTGGGTATGAATTTGAGTGTTGACATTAAATTTATCTATTGCAAAAAAAAAAATGATTTCTCTTTTGAAATCACTTGGGAAAGAAAAAAGTTTGAAAAAAATAGATCCAATGACCTTTGACATTTGTTTTTAGGATAAATCCACTTTTGCACCAACCATTAGCAACACAAAGGTATGAATATTGGAAATGGATCATATATATAAAAGGGCCCACAGGTGATGCAAGAAAACCGCGTCTTCTATAGCAAAATCCAAAATTCATCCACTCTCTGCTTCTCTCTACTATACACTCCCCATGTCTTCACTACACTTCTTTTTCATTTTTTTAACAAAGTCCAGATTCTGCCTCCTTCTGCCTCCTGCCCCTAAAGATTCTCATTATTTTAATCACACTACTACTATCTAAGTGAATCTACAGTTCCATTGAGATTGATTACACATGTTAAACTCACAAACCACCTATGAAGCTTCCTGGAACCTACAATTTGAAGCTCCGATATTATAAAACGTGTACAGGATTTTATCTGCTGTTAAGATGCTTAATCCACACTTATAAATAACTGCTAACATTTACAAACATTCCAACATCAGAATCCAAGCATACAAAATACAACAAACATCAAACACACTTACCCCAAAACCTTTATTGTGTTTCTGTTAGTGTGTGTGTGTTCATGGCTGGTTTAAGTAATTCCGGTTCGAGTGCAAGAAATGATGGTCAAGCCGGTATACCCTCTGCCTACAGAGGAGTGAGGAAGAGAAAATGGGGGAAATGGGTGTCTGAAATCCGTGAACCAGGGACCAAGAACCGGATTTGGCTAGGGAGTTTCGAGACTCCTGAAATGGCTGCAACCGCTTACGACGTGGCAGCATACCATTTCAGGGGGAGAGAGGCTCGTCTGAACTTCCCTGAGCTAGCTAGCAACCTGCCACGTCCTGCAGACTCGAGCTCAGACAGCATTCGCATGGCGGCTCATGAAGCAGTACTCTGCCTCAGAACAGAACCAGTAGAGTCAGACATGCAAGTGGACACCTCAAGCTCCTCCTCCAACGTAGGTCCAACGATGGTCAGACTCTCTCCCAGAGAAATTCAAGCGATCAACGAGTCAACTTTGGGATCTCCTACCATGTTGATGCATTCAACATATGACTCTATGGGTTTTGCCAATGATGTGGGGATGAATGTTTGGGATACATACCATTACCAAAGTGACTCTCTTTGGGACCCTTAAATCCCAAAATTCCAAAACTCATGGAGTGTTTCTACAGCTCAATCTTACAATATTTGGGTTACTAGAATGCTTATTTATTAGGGTTTAGTTTCCGGAGTCTAACACAAGGGTTGTTGATTCTGACGTTATGGCAAGGAATAAAGCTCCTCTGATGTTTTGGAGGGAAGGGCACACTTGTAATCTTCCAAAACAGCAGATGAGCTTGATGGGTCCCAAATATGGACCTCTTCACAAATTTTTTTTTTATTTTTTATTTTTTTATTACTAGTAGACACATAGCTTCTATTTTCTAAGCTGTGTTATAGAGATTGTGAGGTGTGACTGATTTTTTTTTTTTTTCCAATTGTTTGTTACTTATGTGATTCAATATGAATTGTATTCAGTAACTTGGATATGGTTAGGTATTACGTTGTATACAACTTGTATGGATTCTTGAAAATTATAAGATATATTTTTTTATTATAACTAGGCTTGTGCTTTCTCTTGACTTTTTCCCCCTTAAAGAAGCATTGACTAATCTTAAGAAAAATCTACATTTCATACTGAAAGATTTTTACAAGTTGATCAAACTTAGTTTAGTTCTTCCATTTTCTGGAACCAAAATCAATATATACCATAAAAGCAAGCTACTGGAAACAAGATAATAGAATACAGTATTAAGAAATCCTCGAGCAACTTACTTGATGCCTTTGAGAGAAGCAAAGAAGATATATGAATATTCAGTTAGGTTTGTAAGGATGAAGAGGAACTCATGACCGCAAGTCTTTGCGCCTCTTCAACACGACCAAACCGATTGAGAAGTTCAATGACCATTGAATAGTGATCTTCTGATGGCTGCAATTTGTATATCCGATGCATCAAGTTGAAGAAGCGACAAGCTTCATCAGCAAATCCAGCTTGACTGCAAATAGATAAAACTGCTGTGAAAGTGAAGGCGTTGGGAGTAAACCCTTTTGATATCATTTGCTCAAAACAGTTTATTGCATCCCTTAAGCGTCCATTGCATCCATAGGCCTCTATAATGGCGGTCCATGTCAGAGAGCCCTTGACAACAACAGCATCGAAAGAGAAATTAGCACTTCTGAGATCTCCACATCCTCCATACATCTTGATGATTCTAGCAGAAACAAAAGGGATCGACTCAAATTCCTTTTTCAGAATGTGTCCGTGTATCTCCTTCCCCAGCTTTAATGCTTTAAGCTCACTGCAAACAGTCAAAATCCTACCCATTGTAACAGAATCCGGCCTGTGCTTTGATAACAGCATTGATCTAAACACCTTGATCCCTGCTCTTAAGTCACCGTTTTCCACATAGCAGTCAATCATGGCGGTCCATGCTTTCACATTCCTATGCTCCAACTTGTCGAACAGTCTCACAGGATACTCTGGAACACCACACTTTGAGTACAACACCATCAGGGAAGTGACTAATGAAACATTTGGCAAGAAGAGATTCTTTAAAGCATAACAATGGATCTCTTTTCCTTGCTTTACAGCCCTCAACTCTGCACAAACAGGAAGAACGGTCGCAATTGTAACAACGTCTGGCCTAAAACCTTCCTGCTGCATCCAGACAATCGACCTCAAAGCTTGATCAAATCTTCCGTTGGCTGCGTATCCAGACATCAGTGCAGTCCAGGAAATGGCATTCCTCTGTTTGGAGCCATAGAACACTCGTCTCCCAGAAACCATATCACCACACTTACAGTAAAAATCAATCAAACCAGAGTGAACAAACGGCTGTTCCAAGTAATTCTTCGACTTCAAAACATGGGCATGGACCTCCTTCCCCAGTTTCAGTGCCTTAACATCCCCAAGTACGGGAAGAATTGTTGTGAGTATAACTGAGTTTGGATATATTCCTTCTTGACTTATCATTGTCCTAAACAAACCCAGTGCTTCCCACTGCCTTTTGTTGTGAGCCAATCCAGCAATCATTGCTCCCCACACGACTATATCTCTCTCTTCAATCTCATCAAAGACTCGACGTGCAAGCCCTATTTTGCCACATTTGAAATACATGTCAACAAGAGAGGTCTTGAGAAATACACTGCTAAGCAAACCGTTCTTGATCGCAAGCGCATGCGTCTTCAATCCTTGTCTCAAAGCAGATGCCCCAGCAAAGCTCTTGAAGACATTAGAGAAACTATACACATTCAAATCAATCCCTTGCTCTCTCATTTCCGCAAACGTAGAAAGAACGTCTTGATACCGCCTCTTCCCTGATATCACAGTCCCTCTAAGCAACGCATTCCAAGAGTAAACGTTTGAGCTAGTACTTTCGTCGAACACCTTCTGTGCGTCTTTGATCGAACCACACGCAGTGTACATATGAACGAGTTTGGTCCCAAGGAACTCGTTGTTCTCTAAGCCATTGATGCGGATATGAACGTGGACTTGCTTACCGAGAGATAAGGATTTCCGGCGAACACAGGCGGCTAAAAGAGCGGAGAAAGTCGTCGCATTTACTGGAATTCCCCTTTGCTCGAGATAGTCCAGAATCGTGAGAGCATCTTCGAGTTTGTTCTGCCTCGCGAAATTCTGAATGTCTCTGTGGATGATGTAGGGATTTTTGGAGTGGAGCGGAAGAGAAGAAGGGAAAGCATCTCTCTCCCTAAAAGGTTTGGGATTTTTGGCGGGAGAAATGGAAGGCCGTCTACTTCTGCTGGGTCTAGCCGGAGATTTCGCCGGCGCCCTGTCTTTAAGGGAACGGTGAGGACGGTGGTTGAGACTCGACGTCACTGGAAGGGACGGTAGGTCTCGGATTCCGAGAGACGACACTACTTCCATGGTGACACTGACACTCACTCACTTCTTGGCTAAGCATGGTCGTTAGTATTTATAGCATTCACTAATTAATTAATATCTGGAAACAATAATTACTAAAAACTCAAACGTAACTAATTTTTTCCCTGCGTACGCATCAAATTCAAAATTATTATAAATGTTGACCCAAACACAAAAAAAAATGTTATGAGAAAAATGAAGAGTTTATTTTTTAATTATTTTTTTCATTCTATAATTCAAATTTTAAAACATTTCAATAATATGTATTTTGTTTTTATGTTTGTTCAAGGTACTGAAGATTTAGAGAAGGAATATTAAATGCGCTAATCTAATTTATTCAAGTTTTTTTAATTTATTGCTAATGCTACTTTATTTTATTTTAATGTTGTTTTGGATTTAAATTATGATTTTTTTTCCAAATAATATAATTATTGATGAATTTTATTTTGATTAAGTTTGTAAGATATTATCAAACCTAGTTGAACCTAATAACTATATTAAGCCATGATCTAAACAAAATTCTGGTTCGATCACTAGTCCGGTTTTAAGCATTGAAGAAAACTCAATAACTTTTATAATTTAGGCCGTACATAAAAAAAATTTGGTTGCAGAAATTGTTTTTTGTTTTAGTAACACCTTAATTATATCTATAGAAAAATAATACCCTTTTTGTAGTGAATAAATTATAGCTATTTTCCTAATTAACTCTTACATATAGTCATTACTGACGATGTTCAAAGAAAAAAAAAAAAAGAAGCTAGTCACTAATCTTTTTAACTTTGACCGGATTCATTTAAAATTCTCAAATGTTCTTTTATTCGTACACCGTTGGTTTATTGAGAAACGACAGAGGATTATTGTGCAAGAAATGTTGAGGGGATTATTCATAAAATTCTATAGCTGAAAAAATTACTAAAAATTCGATGTAACATTTTCCCATGTGTACGAATCAAATTCAAATTTGTTATAAGAAAACTCCACGAGTATCTATGGTTTAAGCCGCCTTATACATTGTTTTTAGCTGTAAGAGATGAAAATAGTGTGAATTCTGAATATTAATGAGTTCTTAATGAGTTTTTTTGCCATTAGTAGTAATATAGGCTTAAACCCTCTTAAATAAGCCATCAAGATTTCTTCTGCAGACAAATCGGAAAAATCTTCTTCTAATTTTCTCCTCCTAATCTAATGGCGAATACAAACGCCGCCTCAAACGCCGACGAGCCACGGCGAGAAATCATCCCACCGCCGATACCGTCGCCGTCATGGTTTTCCCCACTGCCGATCGAAATCGTCTTGAAAATCTTAGCCTACGTCCCGAAACGCTATTACCCAACGCTCTCTTGCGTCTGCAAGAACTTCCGTTACCTCGTTCGTTCGCCGGAGATTCACAGGATTCGTTCTCTCCTCCGCAAAGATTCGCTCTACATCTGCTTCTACGACGAAACCAGTCGCCCAAAGATCCGAAAGTGGTTTACTTCACATACCCGAAAGTGGTTTACTTTCCACATGGGTGAGAATAATCCGACTGAGAATCACTTCCTCGTCTCCGTCGATCTTGGGTTTCCTTATCATGACGAGTTTAGCCCTTCCACCATCGCAATTGGTCCGGAGATTTTCTTTATCTGCGGATCATACATTCCCTTATCAACCTTGTGGATCTTTGATTCCCGATCTGGTGTATTACGCCAAGGACCCAGTATGATAGTAAATCGAAGGTTCAAAGACGTGGGTTTAGTGGGTAGTAAGATATATGTGGTCGGAGGCTATGGAGACGATGATGTTATTGAAGCGGAATCATTTGACCTAAAGACACAAACTTGGGAACCAGCGCCGATTCCTGAGGAAAGTGTGGTGGGGTTCGTCTGCTACTGTTTCATTAGAGAGGAAGCTTTGTGCGTTAACGATTACTAACGACATCGTTCATTGCTACGATTCTAGAGATGGTTCTTGTGAGAGTTTTGAGGTGCCTAACGATGAATGGTGGAGAACGGGTGTGTGTGTGATTGAAAATGTTCTCTACGTTTACTACGCTAGATTTGGGTTGATGTGGTATGACTCTAAGCTGATGCTATGGAGAGTGGTTTTTGGTTTGAGGAATCTCAACAAGGTTCGATCCGTTGGAATGGCTGAATGCTATGGAAAGATGGCGTTTTTGTGGGAAGAATCGAGGGATGTTAGTAGTGAAACCAAGGAGATTTGGTGTAGACTGATTGCTTTGAATAGGAGTGAAGCAGGGATCCGTGGGACTGCAGGAGCGTCTAAACTTCTGGGGAATGTTCCTCGCGGCTACAGACTGGAGCATTGTCTATCTCTTTCAGATTAGAGAGGATAAATGTATATATTGAAGCTAATGATTTAGAAGACAATTCCATTTATGAGAAAAAAATGTTTGCAAGTATTTGTTTAGCTCGTTTTGTATGATGACAGATTTATAGATTCTCTTATTCAGTGGTTTCGAAACACTTGAATTGGTTAACTGGATTGCTCTAATGATCAACAAATGCCAGAGATTAATTTCCTTCGATGGTTTGATACAGAGTGATTGTCCTCGGTATTTCCACGTTAACTTGTCTTTCACGTTTCTTTGGAAAATGCTAGTTTATACTCTGCAACTGCAATGGTTTGAATTTCTATATGCATAACCGCACAAAACCAGAAAATACCCCATCATAAACTCTTAATGGTTGACAACCAATATTATTTATGAAGAAATTATACACATAAGATATACACATAAATTATGTATTATTATTCTCGTTTTCAACTATTGTGTTTAGACTAACCTCTGTACTAAACCAAAAATACACAAGCTTTTTTATTGATCCGGCAAAACAAAAGACAAATTTATGTTAATTCGACTAATTAAGCCACGCGATTAGTCAATAGCATATGAATGCAAACGGGGGCGGAGGCACATGTATTTTGGTGGGGGCAGTTGCCCCCAGTGGATTTTGATTGCTTTATATAAATTTCAAAAGACTGAATTTACTGCCCCCAATTAAAAATAAGAGTTATACTCCCAAAGTCAAATCATCATTTTATTTTTATTTTTTCGTTATCAGTCAAAAATTAAATTTTCTCAAACAATTTTGATGAACTTAATACGTAAATTATGTCTAATATTCTGCATCTGGTAAACATAAATTATATTAAATAAAAAAATTCAACATTAGAAAGTCTTTCTTCATAGATGACCCTCAAAATATATAAATAAAATAATATAATTTTACGTTTTAAAAAAATTTTAAACTAATTAAATCTTAAAGAATTCTATTGGGTTCAACTTTATTTTATCACAACATTAGAATAATTCTTTGTGTTCAGTAAACACATCATATAACTCCAAAATATTATAATGTTATTTTAAAAATATTTTTTAGAAACTTTTATCTTTAATGTTTTTGTTCATTTGTTAAATATTATTCCGCAAATATCAAAAACAAATTATATATATACGCCTTCAGTCAAAAAAATTTCTGAATCCACCACTGTTTTGCAAACTGATCAATAAAAACATATCGCTCATTTGGTTAAGCATACCTTATTTAAAGGTGAGGTCAAGAAATCTTATCCGAGGTTTACAGTATTTTGATTTAAAATTTGTTCCAAAGTGATGGCATTTGACAGGATATTAACATTTTTTTCATAAATAGAGTTAAAGTTAACTAATCTATACTATTAAAAAAGAATTATTTTTTGTGTTCAAACAAGATTTTTTTTATTTAAAAATATTCAGTTTTTGGATAACTGTTATTTTTGTTGACAAACAATTTAATTTAGTGCAATATTAATAAAATAATATATTTAATTTATATTTTAACATAAAACTGAAAATTTTAATTTTAATTTAGATTTGTTATAGAGTTTCTTAAATATAAGTTATATTATTTATCAAAAATCATAAAATAAGTTATTATTATATCTTTACAAAATAATAAATTAGATATTAGTTTAAATATTTAAATTTAAGTAATATTTTTGATGATAACAATGAAAATAATATATTATTATATATTTTATTAAATAAGTTTAAATTTTTAAATATTTTAAATTAATAAATTTTTAAAATATATAAATAATATGAATGGCCGGATTAGAATTTTGAATCTCTTCGTTGATGATGTTTTTGGAGAGGTTGAGAAAAGAAAAAAGGAAAGCATCTCTCTCCCTAAAAAGTTTGGGATTTTTGGCGGGAGAAATGGAAGGCCGTCTACTTCTGCTGGGTCTAGCCGGAGATTTCACCGGCGCTTGGTCTTTAAAGGAACGATGAGACGGTGGTTGAGGCTCGACGTCACTGGAAGGGACGGTAGATCTCGGATTCTGAGAGACGACACTACTTCCATGGTGACACTGACGCTGTGACGCACACTCACTTCTTGATTAAGCAGGGTCGTTAGTATTTATAGCATTCACTATTTAAATTAGTATCTGGAAACAAAAATTACTAAAAACTCAAACGTAACTAATTTTTTCCCTGCGTACGTATCAAATTCAAAATTGCTATAAATGTTGACCCAAACCAAAAAAAAAATGTTATAAGAAAATTCAATAATTCTTACGCCTATAATTTTTAGTATAGTATAGGCGGCCGTTCATAAAAATTTTGGTTGCAGAAATTGTTTTTTGTTTAAGTAACACCTTAATTATATCTATAGAAAAATAACACCCATTTTGTTCTTTTGCAAAAATACTAATGAATAAATTATAGCTATTTACCTAAATAACTCTTACATATCTAGCATTACTATTTCTGACTAATCTCTTTAACTTTGACCGGATTCATTTATTTAAAATCCTCAAATGCTCATTTATTTGGACATCGTTAATTTATGGAAAAACGACAGAGGATTATTAATTATGCAAGAAATGTTGAGGTTAGCGTAAAAAATTACTAAAAATTCGATGTAACTTTTTCGCATGTGTACGAATCAAATTCAAATTTGTTCTAAGAAAACTCCACGAATATCTATCGGTTAAGCCGCCTTAGATTGTTTTTACTTTTAGCTGTAAGAGATGAAATTAGTGAATTCTGAATATTAACGAGTTCTTAATATTAAGAACATTTTTTTGATAATATAGACTTAAACCCTTCTTAAATAAGCCATCAAGATTTCTTCTGCAGACAAATCGGATAAATCTTCTTCTAATCTAATGGCGAATACAAACGCCGCCTCTAACGCCGACGAGCCACAGCGAGAAATCATCCCACCGATACCGTCGCCGTCATGGTTCTCCTCACTGCCGATCGATATCGTCTGGAAAATCTTAGCCCACGTCCCGAAACGCCATTACCCAACGCTCTCTTGCGTCTGCAAGAACTTCCGTTACCTTGTTCGTTCGCCGGAGATTCACAGGATTCGTTCTCTCCTCCGCAAAGACTCGCTCTTCATCTGCTTCTACGACGAAACCAGTCGCCCAAAGATCCGAAAGTGGTTTACTTCACATACCCGAAAGTGGTTTACTTTCCACATGGGTGAGAATAATCCGACCGAGAATCACTTCCTCGTCTCCGTCGATCTCGGGTTTCCTTATCATGACGAATGCAGCCCCTCCGCCATCGCAATTGGTCCGGAGATCTTCTTTATCTGCGGATCATTCATTCCTTCATCAAGCTTGTGGATCTTTGATTCCCGATCTTGTAAAATACGCCAAGGACCCAGTATGAAAATCGATCGAACGTACAATAGCGAGGGCTTAGTGGGTAGTAAGATATATGTGGTCGGAGGCTATGAAGATGATGATATTGAAGCGGAATCGTTTGACCTAAAGACACAAACTTGGGGACTAGCGCCGTATCCTAAGGAAAAAGTGTGGTGGGGTTCGTCTGCTACTGTTTCATTAGACAGAAAGGTTTTGTGCTTTAACGAAAACTAACAACAACAACAACAACGCTGATTGCTACGATCCTAGAGATGGTTTCTTGTGAGAGTTTTGAGCTGCCTAGAGATGAAATGGTGGAGAACGGGTGTGTGTGTGATTGGCAATGTGCCTCTACGTTTACTACGGTAGATTTGGGTTGATGTGGTAATGACTCTAAGCTGATGCTATGGAGAGTGGTTTTATGGTTTGAGGAAGCTCAAGAAGGTTCGATCCGTTGGAATGGCTGAATGCTATGGAAAGATGGCCTTTTTGTGGGAAGAATCAAAAGATGTTAGGAGTGAAACCAAGGAGATTTGGTGTAGAGTGATTGCTTTGGTTAGGAGTGAATCAGGGATCCATGGGGTTGCAGAAGCGCCTAAACTTCTGGGGAATGTTCCTAGCGTCTATAGACAGGAGCATTTTCTATCTCTTTCAGATTGAAGAGGATAAAAGTATTGAAGCTAATGATGATTCTTGAACTTTTGATTCGTCTACTGTATGTTGAGCTAATGATTTTGATGTTTGGTACTTTGTGAGTCATCATTATGAACATGAATATGATCTTGTGTTTCATTGCTCACATATGTTCAGTCAACGCAAGAAATAGAAGATAATTCCATTTATGAGACAAATATGTTTGCAAGTATTTGTTTAGCTCGTTTTGTATGATGACAGATTTATAGATTCTCTTAGTCAGTGGTTTGAAAACACTTGAATTGGACTATGTTCTTTTCCTTTTTAATTGGATTGCTCTTATTAAATCAACAAATGCAAGAGATTAATTTCCATCGACGTGAAACTAGTTACAATAAACTTTTTGATATGTTCTGAGCTAACTTGTCTTTTATGTTTCTTTGAAAATTCTAGTTTCCACTCTGCAACGGCAACGGCTTGAATTTCTATATGCACAACTGCATAAAACCTGAAAATATTCCATCAAAAACTAATTTATTTTGTTGGGTTAATATAAACTGATGTTTTCTTTTCCATAGTAAAGAATTCACAGGGTGAAATATGAAAAGAAGATAATATTCAGTGACTTGGATGAAAAGTGAAAGTATTAAAAATATCTCGGCGACTGATGCCCGAATAAGAGAATTGCATCTTAGTCCCTCTAGTTTTAGTTTGATACTAATTTAAGACGTATAATTCAGTTTCATAAATTTTAGTTTTAAGCTTGATGCTTCTTAATTTAAGGCGTATATGTAAGTTTCATAATTTGGTTTTAGAACAAAAAAATAAACAAACCGAAATCAAATCCAAATGAGCCACAAAAACGAAGACAAGAAGAAACGACGATGAGCTTCACTGCTTCTCTCATCTCTTCTTTGGCGTCTCCGTCTCTCGTCTCGCTCCACGATCTTCCTCCTTCCTCTTTCCTCGGAAACAAAGTCATCAAGCTAACAATCGTCACTCGTTCACGGCGGAAATTGTCCGCATCCTGTGCTCCGGCAACAAAAGCAGCTGCGTCGTCGGAGACAGCCAAGAACGTTGTCCCCGATATGGCTCCGACATCGGCGTCTGAGGTCGTCTCCAGCTTCTACGCCGCCATCAACGGCAATGATTTATCCTCCGTCACCGACCTCATCGCTCAGGACTGCGTTTACGAGGATCTCGTCTTCTCATCCCCCTTCGTTGGCCGAACGGTGTGAACCGATTCCCATGGACTAATCTCTCTTCGTTTCTCCATTTTTTGCTTCTCAAAGCTTTCTTTCTCCAATCTCCATAAACCAATGACAGGCAATTCTAGATTTCTTCGGAAAGTTCATCGAATCAACAAGTAGGGATCTGCAATTCGTGATAGATGACATTTCAACAGAGGACTCGTCAGCTGTTGGAGTTTCATGGCATTTAGGTTAGTCTTCAAAAATTCAAATCCTGCTCTCTGTGATTTAAAACGTCTATGTTCTTAAACTAGAGTTCTTGTCAGAATGGAAGGGCAAGAATTTCCCGTTTAGCAAAGGCTGCAGCTTTTACCGGCTACAAGTAATCGATGGCAAGAGACAGATCGTGTAAGCACACTCTTCTCTACATAAATTTGCTGCTACTACAATGGACTGAAAGTAATGCCAGTTTGTCTTCCCGGGCGTGAAACATTTCTTCTCGGTTTTGTCTGCAGATATGGAAGGGACTGCGTTGAGCCTGCAATCAAACCTGGAGAAACAGTTCTGGTAATATGAGCTACTACTTAATTTCGATTGTGTGGATGAATTTGAAAGTGCAAGGTAAAATGCAGATTTAACATCTTTTGCATTTGCGTGCAGGCTGCTATAAAGGGAGTTACCTGGTTGCTGCAAAAATTTCCTCAACTGGCCGATAGATTCTGATGGAATTATAAAGCTCCTGCTTGATGAAGTGGATCAGCTTGAAGAGAAACTACAGTACCATACTGTTCTACTCTAACTAGAAACCGTTATGTGTATATAAATTGTTTTCGGTCTGATGATATGCAGGCGTATATAGAATATGTGCTATTAACTAAATAAAGCTCCAGTTGATCATCTTCAGATCAGATAAAAACGATGATATGATTCCACGAGGGTCAACTTCATCCTCTTTCTTGAAGAAGTTCTTCATCTGAACTTTGATCCTCATAGATGGCATAATCAGTAGCGTCTTTCATCAGCTGATTCAATCCATCTAACAGAGGATAGGTATCACATGCTTGAGGGCTTGACGTGTTCCCCACAGAGAACAGTGAAAACCCAGAACCTATGTCAATCCAAGCACTACCAGGAGCCTTCTTCACACCCAAGTCCCTCATGGAAGTCCTCACTTCAGCAAGTTTTCTCCAAGAACCAGCAGCTGCATACATATTTGCAATCAACACATAGTGACCCGGGTTCTCTGGCTTCATCTCCAGGAGTTTTTCTGCTGCCCACTTACCAATCTCTGTGTTCCCGTGGATGTGGCAAGCGTTCAGTAGAGTAGCCCACATGGCACTGGACGGCTCATATGGCATTCTTTGAATTACACCTTTGGCTTCCTCCAGGAGACCTGCTCTGCCATAGAGATCAACCATACAAGAAAAATGTTGAAGACAAGGCCGTATACCATACTCACACTGCATCTTCATAAACAGCCTTTGGCCTTCATGGACTAACTTGGAATGACTGCAGGCCGATAGAACTGCAACCATGGTTATATGGTCAGGTTTAATACCAAATCTGATCATCTCCTTGAACAGGGCCAAGGCAACTCGCCCTTCACCCTGATTTCCGAATCCATTTATCAAGGAAGTGTATGTTACTTCGTCTCTTTCGCTCATCAAAATAGATACTCGCTTTGCAGCTACAATCTTTCCCGATTTTGCGTAAATATCGACGAGGGAGTTCCACAGCATTGTATAGTCCTTGAAGCACTTGCGCCTCAGGATATAGCAATGGAACTCTTTCCCATGTTGCAGATTTGCAACCCGAGCACAAAGAGGGAGAATGCTTGCAAACGTAATGGAATTTGGCTGAAAGCCAGCAAGCAACATCTCCCTGAGAAGGAAAGAGGCTTCTTCTGATCGGTTCACTTGCGCATAACCGGAAATGATAGAGTTCCAAGTACTCAAACTATTTACCTCCATCTGTTGAAACACTATAAAGGCATGCCTAAGGTCATCGCATTTCGAGTACATTGTGATCAACGTGTTTTGAACTTTGTCAATCCCATCGTAAAAACTTCGAATTGCAAAACCATGGATCTCTTTTCCCAACCGTCTAGCTCTTAAGAGCGAGCAGGCCTTCAAACCAATAATCACAGCCACGGGATCTAAGCTCGTGGGAAAATTTCTCATCCTAGAGACTAAACCCAAAGCTCCTGCATAGTTTCCTGTATGCAAACAACCTCCAGAAATAATATTCCAAGTTATGACACTGACTTCTACACCTGAAAACCCCATTTGATCAAAAAGCTCGAATGCTTCACTCCACATGCCTTCCGAGGCATAGCAGCTTATCACTGCATTCCATGAGACAGCATCCCTTTCAGGCATTCTATCGAACAACCTCCGAGCGATACCCACATTTCCAAACCTTTTATACATAGAGATCAATGCATTGCAGACATACAAGCTGCACTTGTGAGAGCTAATCTCAATGGATCCATGAATCACCTTTCCAGAGGCAAGGTCAAGAGTTTCACCACAGGCCTTGAGAACAGACGGATAAGTGAAGGCATCGGGTCGAATTCCTTTACTTACCATTCGCTTGTAAGCATCAACGGCCTCCTCAAAAAGCTCGTTCTTGGCATACGAACCGATGAGCACATTCCAAGGTAAGGTATGCAAAATGTCGGAGTTCTCATTGATTAACCGAGCTTCGTTGTGGAGATTAAAGGCAGAGTAAAAAGTAACCAGCTTTGGCACAAAAGCAAAGTGATATTCCACACCCGACGAAATACAGTGAGCGTGAATTTGCAGCCCTGGCGAAAATGCACGAACATGGACGCATGCGGATAAAAGGGAAGCCACGGAATGCAAAACAAGGTCACCTGAAACAGAGGAAGAGGATTGAAGACGTAGAAGAGAAAGCGTTCTAAAAGCGTCATGCAAATGACCGTGGCTGGCGAAATGTCCGAGAGATTTGAAAAGACTCTCAATCACCATTGATTCATTGTGGCTTTCGGAAGTTCGTGGGACAGGACTTGGTGGCTGTTTCCATAATTTGGGAATAAACTTGACAATGTCGGATACGGTGATACCTCCAGGAATAGGACGAGAAGGAGGATAAGGCATCTACTTTGTGAAAACAACATCATAGATGGCATATGATCACAGTTGATCCGAGCACTAGAACAAGCAGATTCAAAGAATTATATACTTCTCCTGAAATCAAAGCGGGGGATCAAATAGGCTACAAGTTGAGAATATATCAGTGAGGCATAGCATCGAACACTTGGTGCGCTTAACATACCATGTACGCACTTCAAACCTGAGAGTATATCCAACGCAGAATTGAAGATAATGACTGATAATTCTCTGCACTTAGAGAAGAAAGAGAGATTTTTGAACGCAAGAAGCAAAGTGGAAGAAGGCGAGCGGCAATCGCCGAAACTAACGACCCGAGACTCCGAAGAAGAAGACTCCATGGCAAATTTGCTTGTCGGCCACTCATCAGAGCAAATTGGGTCAAAAAAAGTTACGCCAAGGCCCATGTTGACCCACAATGCTATAAGGCCCATTGAAGTTAATATCCAAAATATCTGACGAGCGAGGCGTGTTGGCAAAGTAGAGGCCCATATAAAAAAGTGTGGCTACAATTATCCTTCTTCTTCCCTCGTTATCCACTTGTCTCTCTCCTTTGTGTGGACAAATGCATTTCCTCTTCTCTCTTCCGCTCTCTCTCACTCTCGTCCATGGCGACCACCGCATCTACGTCTCTCCCACGTAATTACTCCTTCACTCCTCCTCGTCCTCCTCCCTCTTTCACCCGCGGTCCGTCGCTGGCTAGATCTCTGCCGCGCTATCTCCGCCGCGACCGCCGGCTGGCTCTCACTTACCACCGGTTGGACCAGAGTTCGAAGCAGAGGAGTGGTGGACACGTCAGATGCGAGGCGACGGAGGTATCTTCTTCGTCTATTACCTCGCCTGGAAGGAACTGGGTGCCGGTTGTGCCGTTATCGGCGCTTCCGAAAGGTGAACGGAGAGTGATTATTCAAGACGATGAGACGATATTGCTGCTTTGGTACAAGAACGATGTGTTTGCAATTGAGAATCGTTCTCCTGCGGAAGGAGCTTACAGTGAGGGACTTCTCAACGCTAAGCTAACTCAGGTTTCTCCGTTTTTTACTAATTTTTTCCGCCATTTGAGGTTTCTTCGTTGTTGGATTTTTTACGGGTTTTGTGAGTATATGAGGTGTTTGTGAAAATGCTTGACTGATTAAAGTGACATATTTAGAAAACGAACTTTATAAATTATAAGATATCTTCACCTTCTTAATCAACACATGGATTGAGTTACTTCCAAAATCAGTAGATTTTGATTTCTGTCTGCCTTTGCTTCAGTGTTATTTGATTCTACAGAAATGTAAATGTCAGATTTTTACAAAGAGGTAGTTCTGATTAAGAACACTATGCTTTACCCTCATTGTGAATTGTGACTATGTAAATGCTTTAAGAGATTGTTTGGATATTAACTTCTTTGCTTAGTTGAATTGATTTCTGACTTAATCAGCTAATCAGCTGCGATAATCGTATGTGCCAAGGTTCGCTTTATAAACAAATTGGTTGTATTTCACATGCTATGAATGTCATGCTCACCGTATCTTTTTGTTAGGGTTTTCAACAACTACTACTATAATGCATCAAGGTCTTTGTTTAATACTACTTTTCACTCACCAATTTCCTTGGCTTCTCTAACAATGAGTTATCCATTTTTTTTTTTTTTTGTGGCATTTACAACAGGATGGTTGCATCGTGTGCCCATCGACAGATAGTACATTTGATCTTAGAACTGGAGAAATCCGGGAATGGTACCCAAAAAACCCGGTTCTCAGAGTCTTGACACCTGCACTGAGAAAACTATTTGTATACCCTGTCAAATTTGATGAAGAAAACATCTACATCAGCATAAGAGACAGCGGGAAAGCTGAAGCAGCTGCGGAGATCGTCTTCAGTGGAAAAGCTCAGCCTGGACTCACAGCAACAAATGTCAATGTCGACGAGGTAAAAAAGAATAGGACTCAAATATAAAATGTATTTCATCTGAGCAAAAGAAAGCCAATAAATACCAAAAGGGTTGATGAAGATTTAAATTTGTGTGAATCAGGTGAGAATGGTGGTGGACGAGGGTTCTCAAGGATTTGGTTTCTCAAGGAAGAACGAAGTGATAAACGGGAAAGCGGCAGTGATAGGGTTCTTGCTGCTGTTAGATTTTGAGCTATTGACAGGTAAAGGTCTGTTGAAGGGGACAGGTTTCTTGGACTTCCTTTACTCTGCTTCAGATGCTTTCAAGTAGAGCTATATCTTTCGTCTGGTTTTGCTTACTTCCTTGTGGAAGCATTACCCAACAAATGGAGAAACAAACATACAGTACTTTAGTGACAACTCACACCATGTCTTAGTATATGAATCACATATATAGAGATGTTCTGCTTTGTCCTTGTTTGCGTTTTATACCCTCTTTGTATGAAATATTCTTTGTTCTCCGTGAGTGATAATTATGATCTTCAAGCTTTTCAGTAACTCTTGTGCATCCTTTCTTCCTTTGATTTTTTTTTTTTTTTTCTCTGTTTTGAGTTTGATTGGTAAGGTATACCATTTTGGAAAGAATTAGTTGTACCACCTTTTCTCTTCTCTTTGAAATTTGTTTACCGCTTTACATCACCAATCGATCTTAACATACAATATGGTATTTTTTTCTAAAAATTATACGTTAGCCATAAAAAAATTTAAATAATATTCAAAACATTTCAAAATGATCGTGTCATGGTTACCATAATTTCGGAATATATTTGTGTGAATTATGATCAACTATGGCGTGTCGCGAACCCGAAAATTAAAGAAGAAAGGGAGGTCTTAATTTGTAGATAGTGAAGGAGAGAGTAGATTGCATTCAAATTGGGTGGCTCCAAAGTGAGTGAGATTCCGTGTGATGAATCTTTCTCAGGTTGGAGTTTAGTTTGTGTACCAGTAAATAAGATATCACAATCCCATACTGTAGTATCTTTTTTATTTATTTTCTGTGTGCTAAACGAGACCAGCCAAAAAAAACTTTCTGTCTTTTAGTCAAACTCGGAAGGAATTTGAAAGATGGAAAAATTTGACCCCATATAAGACTACATGGCGAATCTAGAACATATAAAATAACAAAGCCAAAATCATAAATTTATGAAACTAGGGAGCAAACTAAACATACTAATGGGTGCATTGATAAAAAAAATTAACTGAATTTTGGTCAAAAATTAAGCAGTTTTCTTTATAAAACAAAATTTCTTAAAAAAACAATGGGTATAACTTGCAAGTGCACCCTTGTAATGTAGATTTGCCCCTGTAAGACTATATGAAGACGTCAGGCGTGATGAAATCTACACAAACTCAAAAAAGAAAAGAAAGAGAAGCAAGTCTCATGTGTTTCACCACGTGATGTTGTGATGAAACTGAATAACTGATAGTTTAAGAGAAAAAAAATATATATATCAATACTTTGCATCCAGTCGTATATTATATATGTGATTAATCGTAGTATGACAGTCATTGCGGTTTTATTTACGACGAATATATTCGTTTTTTTAATACGATCGTGTAAATTATTTAAATTAAGATCATGATTCTGATTAGCAGAAAATTTATAGGTTTTATGATGCAAATTGATAATTCATCTACACATCGGTCTACAAAGCAATTGAAGAACATTTTTGCACCAATCGAAAATGTATCCGTAAATCTGTCTATTTTGTACACCGCTAATTTTGTTGTCACCTTTGGACCCTAAATGGCTAAATCTCACAGTTTTGGATACGCAACTAGATTCAATCAATTAATCAAGCATTACATCGAATAATCCATCTTAATCGACCACTAGTCTCATGTTGGAAAATTCATTAGTTTATCTAAACAGGTATAAAGTTGATGCAAACTTTAACAAGTTGAAGCGCTAATCGGATCATCCTAGAAAATTAAAACATCAACTGTCAATATCACATATTCCCCTGGTCATACCTTTGACTAATATTCTTTTTATTTATTATTATTTTATAATTGTTATACACTTATTCTATCGGATACGACTTTTTCTCCTCTTAACGTATTTATATTCAACACTTTCTCTCAAGATCATCAACTCAAAATGGATTCGAGAGACGCCGGAGAAACTCATCATCAGGTCAAGTACAAAGGTATCCGTCGCCGGAAATGGGGAAAATGGGTATCGGAGATTAGGGTTCCGGGAACTCGTGAACGACTCTGGTTAGGATCTTTCTCCACCGCCGAAGGCGCCGCCGTAGCACACGACGTTGCCTTTTACTGCTTGCACCGACCATTGTCCCTCGAGGACGAAGCTTTTAACTTCCCTCACTTGCTCTCACCTTCTCTCGCCTCCAACACATCTCCTAAGTCCATCCAAAAAGCTGCCTCCGACGCCGGCATGGCCGTCGACGCCGGATTCGCCGTAAACAACGACGGAAGAAGTGGTGGCGGCGAAGATAGATCGTCCACGACGTACAGGGAGGAAGACAGAGAACGGGAAACGATGAGCATCTCCGTGTACGATTATCTAGATGACGATCGCGTTTGATCTACGTACGTTTTGTTTTGTTATACGAACACCTTATTTTAGCAATTAATATAGGATGTGAATAGAAATTTTTAAAAACTTCTGATTTTTTCTCGCCACGTAAGCTTTCATTTCTTTGCCTGCTATTTCATCGAGAAAAAAATAATAAAAATTTATAAATGAACACGGTTGATTAACCTGGTTATAATTTTTTTGTTTGTTTGGTTTATATCCGAGTTTGATTTAGGTTTCTATGTTGGGTAGGAATGATGTACATTTTGTAGAGGTATAATGAGGTATTATCTATTTTATTTGTATACTCATCAAAATCTATACGTATCAAAGAGCTTGACGATTTAATAAGTAAATATATTTGCATTTATTATTTGTAAGCTAATCTAAGATAGTATATGATCATATTTCAAATATCTGAATTGTTTTGACCAGAATAGCTTCAAATATTTGAAAAGTTTAATACCCAAAATTCTCAAATGTCTATAAATGGCCAATGGAAATGAATCGTGATGTCATTATTATTACTCGAAAGGCTGAAGATCCTAAGGTACTCGGATACACATTGGAAGTTTTGAAATAATCACGACAAAATTATGATTTTTTCTTTGTCTTTCTTGGTATATCCGGATAAGGCAGGCAGTGAGATACTTCATCGGACTTGCTCATGTTATGTTGACACCAGAGGAAAAAGGCAACCCAAAAACAAACAAACAAAAATGTTGACACCCCAAAAAATGATTGTCGGGCTTTGCAAGTGGAAATGGGCCCATTGAACGAAACCAATAAGACCCAGTTACGACCAGAAGAATTTTTTTTAAAAAAAAAATCAGGCTCTTGAGTTGACCATTCTTTTTTAATCGCCTCCTCGTCATTTGATTCTACTACAGTAGAAGGAAAAACACAATAAAGACATTTGAGTGGCACGCACGTTCCATTTTTCTATCACAACAAACTCACAAAAACGTGAGAGAGACAACAAAAGAACAGAGAGTTTTTGGTCGCCGACCATATCACCAGAGTAGAGAAATAGATAAAGAAAATCGGCAAAACTCAAAGCTTCTTCCATTAAGTAGGAGTTTGAATGGTTGTTTGTTTGTAATGGGTTGTATTTGCGCCACCGCGCGTTCTCCAAACGCCGCCGTTGCAAACAAGGAGCTACTAGATTCCAGCAAATCCATTGTTCATCTCATCCCTCGTCCACCGTCGTCGTCAGCTTCTTCATCCAAAAAGGAAGGATCTTTCACATGTCCGACTTCTACAGCTTCCATCACCGTCGTGGCCAATGGTTACCCAGTGGTGCGTCGTCCCTCCACGTCATCTGATCGAAACAGCAATAAACCAGCGGTTGTTGTGGGAGCTCCGGCCAGGAACCACACCAGAAGAGTCACGGATATGCCGGTGGTGCAGCCTACGCAGCAGCCACAGCGTCTGACCGGAAATAAAACAGAACTAGCCAAGGCAGAATGGCCGTCTTGGTTGGCTTCTGTTGCTGGAGAAGCTATCAAAGGATGGGTTCCTCGCAGCGCAGATTCCTATGAGAAGTTAGACAAAGTTAGTTGATCTTTCAAGAAAAAGTTATCCCTTTTGTTTTCCTTTTTGAATCTCTCTTTGTGTCCTGAAATAGAAATCTTATGTTCTGTGTATTGTTGTAGATTGGACAGGGGACTTACAGCAGCGTGTATAAAGCTAGAGACCTGGAAACGGGAAAGATTGTGGCGATGAAGAAAGTTCGGTTTGTGAATATGGATCCAGAGAGTGTCCGGTTTATGGCCAGGGAGATTCTCATTCTCCGAAAGCTTGATCACCCCAATGTTATGAAGCTTGAAGGTCTAGTCACCTCTAGACTCTCAGGTAGCCTCTACCTTGTCTTTGAGTACATGGAACACGATCTTGCAGGTCTAGCTGCAACTCCTGGAATCAAATTCTCTGAACCTCAGGTATTACATATAATGTATTACTACAAGGGCTATAATTCGGAAAATTCAAGTGACAAGAGAGTCTTACTTTGTTATTAGATCAAGTGCTATATGCAACAACTGTTCCGTGGGCTTGAACATTGCCACAGACGAGGAATCCTCCACCGTGATATTAAGGGATCTAACCTCTTGATTAATAACGAAGGTGTTTTGAAGATTGGTGATTTTGGTTTGGCGAATTTTTATCGGGGTGATCAAGATCTGCAGCTGACTAGTCGCGTTGTAACTTTATGGTACAGAGCACCTGAGCTGTTGCTCGGTGCCACCGAGTATGGACCAGCCATAGACCTGTGGAGCGCCGGCTGCATTCTCACTGAGCTCTTCGCCGGAAAGCCTATTATGCCAGGACGCACAGAGGTAATCAAACTCTCTAATACCTTTATAGTCTCTTTTGAACAAATCTGTTAGCAACGGCTTTATAATCCACAACACCATCTATTCAGATTCTGATTCTCAGAGCCCTATATCTTATAGAACACAACTGGTGAGATAATTATCCTTTTTGCTTCTTAGGTGGAGCAGATGCACAAGATCTTTAAGCTATGTGGTTCACCCTCAGAAGATTACTGGAGAAGAGCAACTCTGCCACTTGCAACAAGCTTTAAACCGAGTCATCCTTACAAGCCCGTTCTTGCTGAAACCTTTAATCATTTTCCTGCATCAGCTCTGACACTCATCAATAAGCTACTGGCAATAGAACCTGAGAAACGTGGATCAGCTGCTTCTGCCTTGAGGAGCGAAGTAATATATTGATACTAACCACAAATCTATGCCTATTAAATAAGCTATTAGATGCATTCTCATGACCAGTTCAAAACTTTCTTCTCTTCAGTTCTTCACCACGGAGCCACTCCCTGCTAATCCAGCAAACTTACCTAGATACCCACCAAGCAAGGAACTTGACGCTAAGCTTCGCAACGAAGAAGCGAGAAAGTAAGTCTGTACATGACATCTTCAGTTGACTGGTACTTCTCTCTTGTTGGGATTTTCCTCATGAAATTTTTGGTTGCAGACTAAGGGCAGAGGATAACAAGAGAAGAGGGGGAGAAACTGTGACAAGAGGACGGCCAAAAGATCATAAAACTGCCCAGACACCTGAGTTTATGGCCGCAGGACAGTCCAAAGTCACGTGCATTAGCCATAAGTTCAAAACAGACGAGGAAGGTGGCACCGGGTTTAGGATCGAACCACCCAGAAGAGGGATCCAGCAGAATGGTCACGCTCATGCTTCTTCAATGGTTCATCCAATTGTTGCTGGTAAAGAATGGAACAGAGGTGGAAGCATGAAAAGACAAACTAATGCAGAGCTGAAGTCTAGGATATCACAAACAGGAGAATTGTCTGGCTCTTCTTATAGAAGAGATCCCAACAGAGATTACTCAACCGTAAGCCTCTTTTTTCCCCTCTAGTTAGTTTGTGTACCTTAAACCGTTTGGTATGTACTGTAATTGTTGAGTGTGCCTTGGGCTGTGTCAGGGAAACGCACCAAGGAAAAACAGAATCCATTACTCAGGACCATTGATGCCTCCTGGTGGAAATCTTGAAGATTTGCTCAAAGAGCACGAGAAGCAGATCCAACAAGCTGTCCGCAAAGCCCGTGTCGAAAAGTCTGGATCAAGGAAAACAGGGCAGCAGCAGCGTTACGCAGGAAGAAATGCTCGGTAGCTAAAAGAGATGGAAAGAAACAAGAAGAAGAAATTTAAGCAGCATAGCACATGTATTGAGGTTTCATCAAGCCATAGAAACCCAAAAAAAAGCGTTTTTGTTTTTTGTTTTTGCCTCTTCTGCGCGTGAAGCCAGGGATTGATGCAATGTATAGTCAAATATTGTTTCATAGGCCAACAAGATTGACGACTATAATGTCAAACTTCGTTTTGTAGATACGCAAGGCAAAATAACTCCAAGTTCGCTACTTTTAAACCACCCATGAGCTGAAAACTAAAAACCTGTTCACAAATCCACATAACAAGCTAATTCTACACGCAGCTCTGATTTAATAGCCTCACTCAAGTTTCCTTTTCAAAGCTGAGAAAAAGTCCACGACAACTGAAGCTGGATTCTTGAGAAATTAGAATACCTTTTCGCTTAAAGAAGTTGACTCTGTATACCCACGATATCGCTTGTTAGAAGCAGAAACTCGAAATTCGATTCCGTATGAATCAAGCTCAAACTCTGCGAATAACCTCTACATTCTGCTAATCCGAAGCCGCTTGAAAAGATCATAAATCCTTCACTCCTATCGCCATCTTCCAGCTTTTTGTCCGTAGATCAAAAACTAGAAAACTTCACCGAAATCCCCAAAACAAAATCATATGACTAACCCTACATTCAGTCGATTTCGGATGATTACGGGTAGTATTCGGGTCTGGATAATTCAGGGACATATAAATACTATCCAGCATTTACGGGTCGGGTATTCCAGGTATTCGGGTTGAATCTTTTTTGGGTCAAAGATTCGGGTTGAATCTTAATAATTCGGCTACTGTTATTTTTTTAGGGGTGAATGCAAACGTTTGAGTTCAAATTTATTTGTTTATTTCTCTTTTTACAATTCAAAATTGTATTATACGAAAATTCTACCGTAAAAAAATAACTTTTGTATAGATAAAATTTATTTGTCTCGTAGTGTAATAAACTCTTTTTAGATTGATGATTTCTTACAACTGAAGATGCGGAATTTTGTGAAATGTTCTCGTTTTACGTTGTGAGTAATACAATTTGTAGACTTTATTGATTTCTAAGGTTATTGAGTTGTGGGAACACGAGAAAATATCGGGACAAGTAAGGCTAGAAACGTGGGTAATAAATAAAAAAGAAGAAAGGATCTGAAAATTAAGCAAAAAAATAGGAAAAGACCAGAGTCGTTGGATTTGCGAAAGACTTTAAAGTTACGAGATTAACCGCAGACTCGTTCAAAAGACCATCCTCACTTTCCTATGATCCAAGTAATCAAAAATTAGTTTCACCCTAATTACCTCTCTATTTAAACTCTTCACCTTTTCAACCATCATTAACCGTAATTTCTCTTCTTTTTGTTTGTTTGTTGATGTTTCTTCTCTATACATATTTTGTACTTTAAAAAATAACACACCTGCCTGTATTTTATTTTATATTTTTGTGGATATTAAAGAAAACACAAGACAAGAATGACATACAATGCGCCTCCTCCACCGGTAATATTTAATTAGAATATATTTATTCTTATGGTATTAGTGTCGAGTTTTTGGTTCGACTTGTCTTTTCTCTAAGTATATATCACATGAATAATGTAGTTTCATCAATGAGACTCTTAACATTTTATCATATTAAAAACTTGTAAGATTTCAATTTTTGATGCTCTTTAAAAAGATCTAAAACGTAAAATCTTTTAAAAAATTTTAGCCATGAACTATAAATCATTCACAATGCTGAAAAAAATTCTTGTAACGAGAAGATATGGTAACTCAACAGTTTTCTTTTCCTCTTTGTTTTTTTTTTTGACGTTTAGCATCATCTATAAATTAACCAAACCAAATTCTGATCAGGACGATGCTGAGGAGAACAAAGGAAGATCGCCGGAGAATAATAATAATCGGCAAATGGATTACAACGATTGGTTACCGGTAACTGCGTCTAGAGAGGCCAAGTGGTATTACTCCGCTTTCCACAATGTCACGGCCATGGTCGGTGCCGGAGTTCTCGGTCTCCCTTTCGCCATGTCACAACTTGGCTGGTAATATTCCAAAGAAATTCTAATTATTTTATAGTCTTCTTCACAAAAATAAAAACTAGTAGTAATTAACGATAAATTTTTATTATCTTATAACAGGGGACCTGGACTTGTTGCAATAATGTTATCATGGGCTATAACGTTCTATTCGTTGTGGCAAATGGTGAACTTACACGAATCTGTACCCGGGAAACGGTTAGACCGTTATCCAGAGCTAGGCCAAGAAGCGTTTGGACCAAGGCTAGGTTACTGGATCGTCTTGCCCCAACAGCTTCTGGTCCAGATCGCTTCCGACATTGTCTACAACGTGACCGGAGGCAAATCGCTTAAGAAATTCGTCGAGCTTCTCTTTCCTAATCTCCAGCATATTCGTCAGACTTATTACATCCTCGGATTCGGCGCGCTCCAAGTCGTCCTCTCTCAATCTCCTGATTTCAACTCTATCAAGATCGTCTCTCTCTTAGCTGCCCTCATGTCTTTCTTGTATTGTCACCAAACCCAAAACAAACAAAAAAAACAAGAATCCTCTGTTTTTTTTTTTTATAATCTTGATCTGATCTCTCTTTGAAATCTTGTTTGTAGTTACTCAATGATAGCGTCTGTAGCGTCAATAGTGAAAGGAACGCAGCACCGTCCATCTGAGTATGGAGTGAGAGGAGACACGGTGGCTGCAATGATATTTGACGCGTTTAACGGCATTGGAACCATAGCGTTTGCGTTTGCAGGACACAGTGTGGTTCTTGAGATCCAAGCTACTATTCCTTCAACACCTGAAATCCCTTCCAAGAAACCAATGTGGAAAGGAGTCGTCGTCGCTTACGTGATCGTCATCGTTTGTTACCTCGCTGTGGCTATCTCCGGTTATTGGGCTTTTGGTGATCTTGTTGAGGATGATGTTCTCATTTCCCTTGAGAGACCTGCTTGGCTTATTGCTGCTGCTAATTTCATGGTCTTTATCCATGTCATTGGTAGTTATCAGGTCTAGTTTTTTTTCTTTTTTTTTCTTGTTCTGTTTCTTTTCCAAATAATGTGATTGTACAATGTAACTGATGATCATTCTCGACCAGGTTTTTGCGATGTCTGTGTTTGACACGATCGAGTCGTACCTGGTGAAAACACTGAAATTCACTCCTTCGGCAACACTGCGTCTAGTCGCACGTAGCACATACGTTGGTTAGTTCTCATATTTAGCTTCTTTTTTTCGCTTTATCTAGAGAAATGGGAACTTAAGAGTCTTGGGTTTGTGTGCAGCATTGGTATGTCTTGTAGCAGTTTGTATCCCCTTTTTCGGAGGTCTGTTAGGGTTCTTCGGTGGCCTCGTCTTCTCATCAACCTCATACTTCGTAAGTCACTTTACTAAAAAAAAAAACAGTTGATACATCTCTGGTTCTTTGCATACATAAATATAAATATGATGTATTTGTACAACTGTATTTTGCAGTTGCCTTGCATTATATGGTTGATCATGAAGCGACCAAAACGATGGAGTTTCCATTGGTTTGCCTCTTGGGTTAGTCTTTCTTTCTTGATTCCACAAGGCTTAAAGTCACAAGCTGATTAAACCTATAATTCTCTAATCCGTTGTTAATTTAACCACAGTTTGCAATAGTCATTGGAGTCTTGATAGCAATCTTTGCGCCCATTGGAGGAATGAGACACATTATCCTTTCAGCAAAAAGCTACAAGCTCTTCTCATAGGCTTTATATGCCAAAGCAACCACCATCATAACAACTTACAAAAATTCTTTTTTTTACCTTTTAAACATAGCCATCTAGTTGGGAATACATAGTTAGATATTGGGAAATTCTTTGGATATTTCTTTTGTCTTCCCTTCTATTGAGTGTGTCTTTTTAAATTTTTTTTTGGTATAACATTTCCATCAAGAACTGCCTTCCGAAATGCTTACGGATTTCGTGAAGGCTCTATGCGCTTTAGCCCTGAAGCTGTGACTGATGTTCACTCTAACCAGTCATGTAAAATCGCCTACAAAGGAATAGCATACGATATATGGTCAACCGCGAGCTCTGAACTTGCAGATTTTTAGCGGTTTTGGCTCTTTTTTTTTTTTTTCAAGTCTATATAAAACTCTAATGCAGGTAAAATGCCTATAGAATTCAGAACTTTTTGGTTTTGGATTGTAATAATATATCTTAAATAACGTGATAGCCTTTCCATTTCTCATTGTTGAGTTTGTATCAAATAGAGTCATATATGTTTAATACTGAATTGAAAGATGCAAAACAGAGAGTCAACTAATATAAAAATTCCTGGAAAAAAAAATATTTGTCATGGTAAAGTGCCAACTTAGCCAAATTTTAGACTTTCACTGATGAAATAATGTCTCTGTGATCTGATGGCGTAACTACTATTTACTTTTAAGACTATCCTGTTCAATTTTCCTAGAAATAGCATTTTACAATAAAAAAAAAGCTTATATTAATGGAGTGATATACTACTAATGTAATTTGTAACTGCTATATTACCCTTTAACCTTTTAAACTTGGTCCAATAATTAAGGTGATGATATCAAAGCCTTAATTAATTATCAAAATTACATGTATTATTATCGTTAATATCGACCAGTCAATGTTGTGAGACACACCGATAATCAAACCACCACATGGACAAAGCCCAAAAAGTAAAATTAAAATCTTTTGTCTCTTTGTCCCCTTCACAGCACAAAAACCTTCCTCTGCAGTAAACTGTAACGCCTCTCACTACAGCAACGAGAAATTATCAGAATCTCTCTCCCTTTCATCCCGATGACGACTAATCTCCCATTTCCGATTACACTGAAACTCATCCTCTCTAGCTTAGCTTCCATCGTCGTAATCACTCTCTTCTTCATCACCAGAACCGATTTCTCACAATCTTCATTACACCCGTCGCCGGACAAAACTCTCCGGATCTCCAACTCCTCCACCGGAACTAAATTACAGAGCCAAGAATCCATAAATTGCGTTAAGATCCCTCCTTCGCTCGCCGATGCTCTCGTCCACTACGCCGCCTCCAATATCACTCCCCAGCAAACACTCTCCGAAATCTCCGTCACCAAGAAGGTAACACAACACTAATTACATGCAATTTAAGTTGTGCAATTCAAATTGCTAAACAAGAAAAAAAAAAACATTTTCACTAGCGTTGTTATTACAGTGTCATAGTTTGGTAGTGTGGTAATGTGCCGACACAAAAATGAGAAAATCAAAATTGAATCAGGTCTTGGAGAAGAAATCGCCGTGCAATTTTCTGGTATTTGGGCTGGGCCACGACAGCTTGATGTGGGCTTCGTTAAACCACGGAGGAAGAACCATCTTCTTAGACGAGGACGAGTCATGGATCCGTCGAATCTCTGAGAAATTCCCGTCTCTGGAATCGTACCACGTCAAGTACGAGACAAAGGTAAAAGACGCGGCGGCTCTGATGTCGTCGGCGAAAAACAGAGAAGAGTGCCGTCGCGGCTTGTCGACGGATCTTAGGGTTTCTGCGTGCGAGCTTACGCTGACGAGGTTACCGGAGGTTGTTTACGAGACGGAGTGGGATTTAATCATGGTCGATGCTCCGACAGGGTTCCACGAAGAAGCTCCGGGGAGGATGACGGCGATCTATACGGCGGGGATGATTGCGAGGAGCCGGAAGAATGAAGGAGAGACGACGGCGGTTTTCGTGCACGATGTAGATCGGACGGTGGAGGATGAGTTCTCCATGACGTTTCTGTGCAGAGATTACTTGACGGAGCAACAAGGAAGGCTCCGTCATTTTACGGTGCCTAGTCACCGGAACAAGAATTTCTCCGGCGGTAGATTCTGTCCCTGATCCACCGTGGATAAAAGAACAATTTTTATTGATTTTTTTTTAATCACTGCGTCGTTAATATCAAAAGAGTTAATTATCCAACGAGCGGGCTGATTCATTTGGGCCAACGAATGGGCCCAAAACATATAAAAAAAACAAAAAATGGATTAGTTTTGTGATTGATACACTAATGTTGTTAACTTGGATTCAAATTTTGGTGGTTTGTATGTGTGAGTTATAGTATATACTGGCAAAATAAATGTCAAAAATAGAAAAAGAAAAAAGGTTTGATTATAATGTTGCGAACGAAAGTCAAAAAACGTTACAAGAACAAACTAAACAGACCAAAAACAGTACGAAGTTTATATTTCTTCTTGATTGCTTCATAATCGCTATGTCTCTACTAGTTGAGACTAGCCAGTTGCTGAATGTTGATAGGAAACGCGACCGTGGGGTCACCAGCAAACGCTTTCTTGGCCATTATGAGATTAACTTTTTCCGTAGGATGAAAAGCGTCCCAAAACAGATACTGATCTCTGTTAGGACAAGGCGTCTCAAAGGGAAGACAAGTGATCTGTCCTCTGTTCCGTCCTATCCCACAACATCCTTTGTCTAAAGTAGTAAACCCTAAACACAAAAACCAACACAAGTACCATTATTAGCCCATCGATGATTTAAGTGTTGTTCTTTACTTAGTTAGCGTAACATTTTTGTTAATTACCATAACTAGCTTTGTTAGCGATGATGTCTTCGAACATATGAGCGATATCGAGGTAAATGAATTTAGCGTCGGGGAGATTCTGGTTGAGATTAGAGATCATTGTTTTGACGTTTGTGTTGAAAGGAAGAACAAGCTGGTTCACTTCGTCTGAGCATTTACCGTCGGTTCCTTGAGCAAGAATGCTCGGAATGCATCCCATTCTTCCAACTCCAGCCACTACAAATTTTCGACCACCTAGATTATACAGCCTCTGCATTACCCAACAAAAAAAAACAAAAAATTAACACATTTATGATTACGTTTTAGCTTCTTGCTTAATTAATACTATTAGTTTGTTTTTGTTTTATGTATTACGGTGAGCTGATTGGCGTAGTTTTGAACCAAGAGATCGCCGAATTGTTGTGCATTGAATTGGTTACGGGTAGGGAAATTGGGCATCAAGTAATTGTTGAGATAGTCATTGCTTCCCATTCCGATGAAGAACAAGCTTCGAGCCACTGAGTCTGCAATGGCCACTGCACCACCAGACTTGCTCGCTACCTGATTTAACGTTGTTTCGAAGTTATGGATCTGCTGGTCGAACGGTATGCGCCCCACCTGACCACCCGATCATAAACTCGTTAATTTTTTTCATCGTTGATCAAGAACATATACTCATGTGACCACGCTTTAAACATGTGGTTGAGTTGATTTTACTTAACAAATGACTTTCACAATCATGTTGATGTATATGTACTGGTTCTAAAATGTATAATCCAAATAAACATTTGTAAGAATCGGTTGGTTGGATTATTTTCTCATATACTACTACTTCTACATATATACTTCTTACAACAAAATAGTAAAAAGTTAATAGCATGCAACTTACGAAGTTTCCTCCAGTGTCAGGAAGAATCCCGGCGGCTGCGGAAGCGTAGTTGACACCACGGAGCATTTGATCTCCGATAGCTTCGGAGTACGCCGGAATCAATGGGAGCCCCAATAGTTGAGCTATATAATCAGTGCATGCATGCGTCAAATTAACTTCATCGATCAGACTCATCCAAACTTTATTCATTTTTGTTATAAATTTTAATATACTTTTTTCCAAACTCGGAGGAAATACATGTTTTGAAGAGAAGAAATAACATTTATAACAACATGTACTTAATATTTATGTAGACATGTACTAAAACCATACCAATCCCATCGACCATGGTTAAGCCATTGCAGAAACGACCGGTTGGACCGCCATTGAAGTCGATGCCATAAGGGAAATAATTGGCTTTAGCAAAGGAAGGGATATTATTGTTGTTCCCATTGTCTATGAGAGAGTCTCCAAAGACAAATAGTGCCGGCACAACGCCATCACTGCCACCTTGGTCGACTAGTGGAGGCGGAGGAGCAAAAACAGGTTCCTCAACCACAACTAATGGAGGCGGAGGAGCAGAGACAGGTTCCTCAACCACAACAAGCTGGCCGGAGACGCCATGCAGAAGTTGGAGAACCACCACGAGAAGAGGTGGGAAGAAGCAAAGTCGCCGGAAGTGGAAAGCCATTGGAGGGTTTGAGTTTGAGAGGTTTAAGTTGATCTTGTAAGGTTGATTTTTGGGTGACGGAAAATAGAATTTGAAAGATTTATAGAGGGAGAGAGAGGGGGGTTTGGTGAAGAGTAGTAAATGTGTCTATCCGTCTTCTACCACACAGTAATAACAGCCACTCACGATAATCACAATATGTGAGTTATGGTCTACATGTATTGTGATGTTTAAAAAAAAAGGTGATTTGCATCGATAATAGTTTCTGATGAACAAATTAGCTATCTATCATATAGTCAATTCACTGCATAACACAAGTCAACAACAAAAAGTAGGTAAAAAAGACTGAATACCCTTTATTCTTTAATTCTGGAAAAAAATATTTCTGACATGATTTGGGACTACAAAACTTAGAAATATAGAGACTTTATCTGCTTCTTTGAACAATAGCAGCGAGAATTTTAACCAACATCAATATTTGTTGTCGTTTTATAATGTGTGTGTTCTCTCTCCACCATTATGCTCTTCCTCTCTGTTATTCTTCTCATCTTCTTCTTCTCTGTTTCTCTCTTCTTCTATACACGGTGTTTTTTTGCTCAAATCATTTAAGATAACTTTATGGTATAATTTATTATTTTTATTAAAAATTATTTATTTAGAATATACAGTTATGTAGTAGACGACTATTTTCATAAAAAAATTGCATTCACCACAGAAGAACACTCTCTCATTCTAAAATTATGAGACATTATGGACGATACTTTCTATGGTTGCACCAAGTTGAAGATAAATAGACATATACCAAGTAGTCACCTATCACTTCAGTATAGACGTTCTTTTCAATTATAATTCTTTTATTTGTTGTGTTCATATATTTATAGTAGACAACTACTAATAGGTGATTATGTTTAAAATGTAGATGGTTGTTGTCGGTCACGATGAGTATGAAGTTTACAACAAAAAAAAGAGGTGTACATAACAAGTTATCAGCAACTTCTTCTTACAACAACATTGCAAACTAGAAGCTTATGGGAGAGGTGCAAAATCAGTTTTTGAAGATCCCTTTATGAAAGACTTTTCCACCCAATACCTACTCATGTATGTTCTGGTGATTCGGAACTACTTTCCCCATTAATGCGCTGACTACATGGTCAACCAAAGAAAATAAAGATCTTATCCCGAGGAGAAATGAAGGTAACGTAGTCAACTATGTAGTGTTTGTAACATAGTAAGCTTTTTTTATAATGAGTCGTAGTTGACTACTTTGTGGTCGAAATGACACAGAGAAATTTGAGGAATGCGGCAAGGTTTTGCAGCAGGTGTCTTGCAAGGGGTCACAATGGTAATTATAGGATCATAGTTGACTATTTTCATAGAAAATCATTTGCTCAGAGTATGTGGTTATATAGTAGACAACTATTTTCATAAAAAATTTGCATCTCCCTCAGACAAACATCCTTTCACTCCGAAAGTGTGAGACATTATGGAAAATACTTTCTATAGTTGCATCAAGTAGAAAATAAATAGACATATACCAACTAGTCATCTATCACTTCAGTATAGACGTCATTTTCATTCTAATTTTTTTGTTTGTTGTGTTCATATATTTCTAGTAGACGACTACTAGTAGGTGATTATGTTTAAAATGAAGGTTTGTTTTGAATGACACAGAGACGTTGACTAATTTGTAATGTATTTTGATTAGATAGGTAGTACTCAAAGTCGATTATTAATAGTTGTCTATTTTCTCCATACAACTCAAAGTTGATTCTAATACTTAAGTAAATATTAATAATTGTCTATTTTGATTAGATATCTACTACTCAAAGTCGATTATTGGTAGTTGTCTACTTTCACTGACTCAAAGACTTCAGGGTAGCGCTTCATTAAGCTGGGTCGTTTAATGAAGGCAGATAGGTTGAGCACCCTGATGACAGATAGTTCCTTGAATTTTTGGTTTAAAACCTTACATGAACAAGCATCTTCTGCAGATTCTCTAGCAACCCTTTCAAAGACATCAACGAGTGCATCGTGAATCTGGTTCAGAATATTATTTGCGAACGGTGTAGGTTGACATTGTCGAAGAGAACACATATCCCTACAAAGGAAAAATGTCAAAAAGTTAGCAATTATAAACTGATTATTGTTGTTACGTAGTTAACTATCGATAGTTATATTAGTAGTTGGTTATATGTGCATAGTAGTTATGTAGACTAACTGAATATGGAGTAGCTATTTATTGTATCTATTGGACGAATAGAGTAGACGATTACTAATGATGATATTCAATGTAGTTACTATTTACTAGATATGCGTATAAAAATAGTTAACTACTCTAGATCTACAAATTGGAGAGAACCAGATATCGATAACAACGAAGAAGAAGACACAACTAGGTGAATACAGTGAACAGAAATCGAAAGTACTGTAAGTAAAGCTGATTATATATATAGAACTAAGAATCAAATAGGTGGGTCAAGAAAATAACCTTCCATAACTCGACGATGAAGAATACGGATGTTGTAATACCGTCGACGAAGATGATACGCGGAGAGGTGACAGGGTGTCTGGAAGTGTTTCTGAAGGGGAGCACTTCAAAATCAAAGAAACGTCTTCCATCGAAGGTGGAGTTAAGTGGGAGGTTTCCAGAAAAGAAAAAGCTTGCTTTTGTCGATGGTGTTATAGAGTGCTCGGCATCGTTTCCAGCGGATTCATCGGCGGAGAGAATATGTGGAAATAGAATAGATCCAAGAAAAAGGGTTTTTCTGGAAAGGTTCTCAAAGAAAAAAATCAATTTAAAATTTAAAAATAAAGAGAAAAAATAAATTCAACTAAAAGTTTTTCTAGTAAAAGTTATGGTGTTGTGGAAAATAGAAATTGTCAGAATAGATAAAAGTTTGAATGATATGGTTTAAAAGAGATGGCGTAGACTTAATTTGATGGGGGGTTGGATGTCTTTGCCCACCATTAAAAAAATTAGTTTTAATGGACCTAAATAAGATTCTGCAGCCTGTTATCCCACCTAATTTCCCTTAAAAAAAGGTCTTCATGTATTGTTTCTCTCCATGTATGTCTATATATAATACTCCCTCCGTTTCACGAAGAGTGTCGTTTTAAGGTTTTATTTTTGTTTCACAAAGAGTGTCGTTTTATATTTTCAATGCAAAATTTTAAACAATATTCCAATTTTAACCATATTAATTTAATGTATTTACTAGATAAAAACAAATCATTTAATGTATTAATAAGGGACAAAGTTGTACTTTTAATAATTTTCTTAATATGTGTGAAAAATGTCAGAATGATACTCTTTGTGAAACGGAGGGAGTATGATTAAAATGATTTTACACTTTCAACAACAATATAAAAAATTATACTAATATACTGTATTTTTTAAGATATATATTATTACATAATGTGTCGAACTGAATGATTTACGTATGTTGATCTACAAATTGATTTTAGATCAATAGAAGTGTTTTTTTTTTTAGTAAAAATTTCTTTTTTTTTTGAGAAATTCTTGATCAATGAAAGTGTTGAAAGGTCTGATTAGAATTATGTAATCGTTGAGTTAGTGAAAGATTTTCAAGTGCTTCTAAGTTCAACAAAACAAAATCTCATTTACAAACGATTAATTTGTAAAGCTCACCAGGAAGAAGAATTTAAATCACAATTAAAAAAAAAAGAAGAAGAAAAACGTTGCATTTAAATCGTCGATATTATCGATGATGTTTAAGCTTTCAAGGTCAGACAATCGTGAAGACCAATTATGTCGAAGAAGAGAGCAGAAAAAGCAACAAATAAGTCTCTTCTAATTCGAAATGATGGCTTGTAGGTTTTAGCATCTTGATTCTTGGTCTATAACTTTAGGGTTGACTTTTGATACTATTTTGACTTCTCAGATTCTGTGATAAAAGGATATACTATATACTTGGGACCCAATAAATGGTAGTCGTCCTCTTTTGCCACAACCGGTACTATAGTCCAATCGTATGTTTAGACACAAAAAGTTTCCGCATCTGCGATTTGTTTCAAATTTCATGACATTTTCAGTTTTTGCAATCGAGTCAAATAAATTTCGATTTGTGTTGAAATTCTATTATCCCTAGACTATATCATTATTAGACGTTAGACTTTTCATCATGGATAACAATGTAAATACACTGAAAAAAGAGGCTAGGTTTCCTCAAATGAAACCCAAAGCAAATAATCCATAAAATCCAAACATAGATAGAAACTGGATAGCGTTTACGTACACACCACACTTGTAGTCATTTCGTTGCTCATACAAACAAATTAAAAACAAGAGTCCACGGGCTTTATTATACTTCTGTGTGATTTAACAGCACTAATTATACTTACCAAGATTATTTGAATTCGTAAGACACAGTCTTCAAATATCCATAGGTCTAGAACTGAAATATTTCACTCGGCATGGTTAGCGGATAAGAATAGTTGTTAGTCTCCACAGTTGCGAAGTTAGCATCTAATATGCTATTGTTGGTCTCCTCTATCTGCATGAATCCAACATAATAATAAAGCAAATCATTAGGGCAAAGCAATTTAAAGATCATCGGGATAGCTAGTGTGACTAATTCAAGAGATACATTTTGATATAATTATGTTGATAGATCTCCATTTTCATAAAATGTGTTTATGATAAGAATGTTAATTATAGTGCTTTTTGTGTTACCTTTCCGAGGAGATACTTATTGGCATTTTTGAGAACCCCTTCCTTCATTCACCAAAAAAAAGTGTAAAACATATGTAAATTTCACTTTTTGTATTCAGTTTTATAAACCAAAATCACATTATTAACTTTTATAAAGCTAAATGTTTATGTGCTTTACCTTGTTCCTCAAAGACTGAATTTCTTGAAGCATAATCTCCATCTGCAAAATTTACATATAAACTTATTCATTGTTTTAAATAGAAATATGTAAACCTTTCTTATCATGATCAGTATTTTATATTCACTCTGCCTACTGCCTAACATATTGATTGTACATGTATGTATGCACGTTTATACCTTAGCTGAGCGAATGTGAGAAATCCAATACTCAAGATGCTTCTCAAGCAAAAGAAGTTCTTCAAGATTCATCGCCCCTTCTCCTCCTCCAAACATATACCTGAAATCATTTTAATTATTATAACATGCGTATATGTATGAATTTATAGTCAATTTAGTTAGGAAATACTGTGTAAATAATTAATATGTATACCTTATTCCTTTCTGAAGCATATCAATCTCTTGCTTCAGCACATTGACCTCATCTTTCGGATCCTAGAAAATACACTTTCCTTTCAATGTTTCTACTACTTGTATATATATAGTATCATAAAGCGAATGTACAAAATTTGAAAATGTTGGGTTCCAATTATTGACCGTCTCCGTACATGTATTTATTCTAAAAAGTAAATATACATATTTGCGCCAAAAAATAAATAGTTCAGAGCGTGTCAATGACAATAGTTTAGGGCAAAGTAAAGTGTTCGGGGAAACTTTTATCAAAAGGTTGTGCTGATCCCATTTGTAAACCAATACTACAACTTCGTTCGAAATATACAGTGATTAAATAACTAAAGATACAAACATTTTAAAGTGTGATAGATATGTGTATTTTTGTCTCCAAAGCATCTTTTACTTTAACAGTAAGTAATTTGACTTGTTTTGCTTTATCAAATTTTTCTTTTTCTTTTTTTCTTTTTTGTTTCGACCAAAAAAAAAAAATTTCTTTTTTGACTTGTTTTTGGTTTTACTCTATACTAGTACAACGTTCCACGATAGAGAGTTTCGACAAATTAATAATTCGGAGAATGGGAGAGCTAGGTGCATTGAATGTTACTTCACAATAACTATTAATTTCATGTAGAATCGGAATCAGGTGCCCTACCTAACTTACTGACTATTTTAGTTTCAAATCAATTAACAACGTCCAACAGAGTTTCGGTTTGCATGTCAACACGTGTTACCAAACTGAATATTAGAATAAAATATTACTATAAAAGAACAAAGAAGAACAAAATGGCCAATAAGGGATTAAAAATTACTTATGAGGCACTGAGCGCCGACTAGCTAACCCAAAAATGCATAAAAACGAAAAAGATTCAACAATTTAATCCCAAAAATCAAAGAGAAAGTTTCGATATAAATATTAATTAATTAAATAAATAAAGAAAAATGAAAGAGAACTAGGAAAGAGAGACTTACAAGATTTGGGGGTTGAAGTTGTTCTTGAGCAGTAAAAATAGCAGAAGAAGAACCACGACCACCACCAGTACACTTCATGTACTTATCAATCATCCCCTCCATTGTTCTGGTTTTTAATCAAATTCACATACATATATAAGCTTAATTAATATAAACCAAAAATAGAAATATGAAGTATAAGATATATATAATAATACCCTTTAGTAGCGAGCTCAAAGAGCTTGCCCTGTGGAGAGAAGATCACTACACCGACCTCGGCGTCGCAGAGCACAGAGAGCTCCTTAGCCTTTTTGAGAAGACCGGTTCTCCTCTTGCAAAACGTCACTTGTCTGTGAACCGGGTTCTCGATCCTCTTCAGTTGAATCTTTCCACGAGCCATCTCTATCTGACGATTTAACGTTTCAATTTGTGATTAAATTCGGATTTGGATGTGAACTTAGAACGTGGAACAACCTCCCACTAGTTTGAACTAGCTTCGAGGTTACCCACTTACTATTTGGTGTCTTTTTCTTGGGAGAAAACTTTCAAGTTATGACCAAACTCATGAACCTCCTTTCTCTTTATATATAATCACCATTAACAGATTCTCCCACTCAGTTCTCTGCTCCTTAAAGCACCTTTCTGCTCCACACAAGCCTCCTTTTCTCTTATATGTTATATGTTAAATATGCATTCATACAAAGTATATAGCTTTACATGCGAAAGCTCCATCTAAAGTATTGTTTGTTATTTTATGGGTTTGTATTGTACTAGCCCTTTCCTATCTAGCTTGTATAAAATTATTTCCTAGGTTATATGTGATTGATTGAGCTTACATCCGATGTGACATATGATATGACATGCACTAGTTCTTACAAAACCATACTATCTCAGTAATCCACATATGTTTCTATTTTGATAGGGATATTTTTTATTGGGTATTTTTAAGTAAATATATGGTGAAGAATGTCAATTGAGAAGGCAGAAAAGAGAAATAAACTTGTGAGTAAGCAAAAACTATTGACACAAGAGAGATGTTGGACTCGACGTGTACCTTGCCTAATATTGTGACATAAAGGACTATACCAATGTAAGAAAACTGAGTTCCCAAATGCCATTCGACTCCGTTTTTTTTTTAACTGTCCATTAACTGATGTATGTGCAATCTTTTTCAAACGGATCAAAATTATGAACGACCAATAATCTTACACTCATTCAAAATCGAACTCCAAACATATTGTATAAGCACTACTAACCTTTAACAAACCACTATACCAAATTAATTTAAGAAAACTTAAAGGACTATACCAATGTAAGAAAACTGAGTTCCAAAATGCCATTCGACTCCGTTTTTTTTTTTAACTGTCCATTAACTGATGTATGTGCAATTTTTTTCAAACGGGATCAAAATTATGAACGACCAATAATCTTACACTCATTCAAAATCGAACTCCAAACATATTGTATAAGCACTACTAACCTTTAATAAACCACTATACCAAATGAATTTCCAATCCCAGAAAATTAGGTACGTTTAGCATTAACTTAATTAATTAATTATATTCTCAAGTGTTTTCTTATAACTATACTAAAATAGTCTTCTTAGCTGGCTCCATTCCCTGTTATATTCTTGTCGTTTTTGTTAATTTTTCTAGTTTTTCGTTCTCTGTTGTAAAAAATTTGAAAATTAGTATAAATCTTAATTTTTTAACAAAAAAAAATTTGTTTAGTTTTTATAATCACATTTTTAATAATTAGTATCAAATTTCATCGCGTATATATATAACCACAATCCTAAACGTATATTTTCTTAAAATGAATTTTTCTGTTTCCCACCCACCATCATCTAGTTTGTCTCTCATTTTTATCAATGTATGATTTCTAAGATACCTATCAAAAGACCAACATTCTTATAGCTGACAGAAATCCAATTTAATATATGTTATCTCAAATCAATGCAAATAATGATATGTCAAAGATAAGTAAAATTTCATTTCAAATCAATTGATAATATTAATTATAAGAATAATTTATATCTTCTACTCCTTTCTTTTTATTATAAGTAATGTTTAAGATTATTGTACACAGATTATTGAATTAAGTTTTCATTTTTTCTTAAAATTAAAATATTAATTATTATACACCTAAACACAATTTAATCAATATTAAAATGATCTTTTAATACAATGTCAAAAACAAATAAACCAATTAATTTTGCATTAACAGTTCAAAATATGTATAGTTTGAAACATTTTAAAAACATCAGTTATTGTGAAATGAAGAAAGTATTTGTTATATAAGTACTTATCAATTACTTTCTCCGTTTTTTATTAGTTGTCGATTTAGAGAATTTTGTTTGTTTTAAATTAGTTGTCGTTTTCAATTTTCAATTTAATATTTATTAGTTTTTTATTTTTTTATGATTATTTTTATTATACAATTTGTTTTATTATTGGTTGAATTGTGTTTAAATAGATAATTAATGATATTTTTATATTAAAAACTAAAACAATTAATATTTTCTTAATCTGTGTGTATAACCTTAAAACGATAACTAAATAAATCTGGAGGGAGTATATGTTTCTCATATTTATCAACGTGGAATTCTTAACCCATTTTTTAACCAATAGAACTAAGTGATGGTCATTAAGCATAATTAGTCAATATTTAAAGAGGGTATCATGTGCATCTCATCGTGGTGGAGAACCAATGACCTGCCCATGTTAGGTTCCAATGTAGCTTTTTATTTGTTATGTGTATTTCTTTAGTTTAATAATTATTTTGTTAATTGTTTAAGTTCATTGTTATTCCCTTTCTAAATGTTTTTTTGGCCATCTTGATTTGCCCTTTGTCTACGTGACAAACTCCTGAATCTTATTCTACTTCAGCATTTACGGGGTTTTCAACTCACTTCTTCTTGGAATATATATATATAGTAACATTCATAGCTGGTCATCAGAATTTGGACCATTTGGTAGCTCTAGCAAACAAAATTTGTGACACATTAACTAATGAAACCTAAAAAATAAAAATAATGTGAGCGACTTTGACAAAAAAAAAAAAAACTAATACAGTAAGAATATGAGCAAATGTTACGTTAGAAATTTTGATTTCGACCTCTTTTTTCTTAGGTGTGCCACGTGCCTACTTAATTACTAATGAAAGTTTTTCAGACTAAATATCTCCATAAAATGATTATACATCTGTAGTGCCAAACCAGTCTGGAGTCAGCCAGTCAGGGCCTCTAGCAAAACAGTTTCACGCTGGTACTTTTTTCCAGCGTAAATCACACCATCAAGTTTAGATCCCTCCATGAAGAAGTTGTTGGATTTAATCAAATATAGAATGCATAATCGTCTTTCGATGGACTAATTAAATGCCTTTAGCACTTAAGTTTTTTTTATTTTATTTAGCTAATGTAAGAGTATATCTGTTCCCTTTTATTAATGTAATTAATCTTTACAAAATTAATCCATAACTAAAAAGTATGATCATTATTTTCTTAGCTACGTCAAAGTACTATTAAAATATGACTCCTCTATAATTGTTTTTTCATTTGCCATTACAACATAAAATGGTGTTCACGGAAATTTCTAATAATTTGAAATCTAGTTAATTCATTCGTGTCAAATATGTATTTAGGACACTACATAATTATTGCAATACTCCCAAAATAGAAACTCTAATCTTAGATTTGTACTAATGACTTCTTGAACGATTTTTTCTAAGAAAGAGGGAGAATTAGGGGAAACGTATCTCTCTATGAGGAGGTGATGGATTGATAGGTCAGGTTAAGTATATGAGAAGAGAGTAAAATGAAGAATCTTAATTAAATACAAAAAATAGAAGAATCTTTTTCAAATCAAAATGCATCAAACATGCAAAACCCAGAAAGTATGTGTTCGATCTGCTACCTCGAATCTTTGCGCTAATTGGCTTTCAAGATCGTATCTATGATTGACACATGGGTAGTTTTTCTTGTCTTGTAGGGGCATAAAGCTTTTTTTGATTCTCCACTCCCTAAATTTATTTATTTATTTCTATATTATTTATTCTAATGCATGCTTTCAGTCTAACTATAAGCTTATGTAGAGATAACTTAAATATATGCATCTTAGTAGCCATTCGAACCAATTATTTCTTCGAATATATGCATCTTAGAAAAAAAATAATAAAACAATATAATTAAGGTTTTTGATGGTGATCCAAATCAATTTTAATCCTGATTACCAACATACAAAACCTAGCAGAATTATTTTCTGGTTTAGACAAGAATAAATCAGTGACTCTCTATATTGAGAATTAGAGCGAATCGAAACTGACTAAAAAGTTGAAAACAATAGAAAAAAATGTGCTGAAGCAAATTCCTGTTTTGAGGATCTTTATTATTATTGTTTGAATGAATAATATAAACCCTTAAAATCCATTTATAGTGTTTCAAAACCTGATTCTAATAGGATTATGCAAACAAAAAAATCTAAACCTAATAGGATTCCATACCATGAAGGGCTCTTTTAGCTATACTTATCAGATTTAAGTTATTTTAGAAACAACACTCTAACATATTCAAAAAAAAAATTACGGCTACGAAGTCAGATATCATAATCTTTCAATCAAAGTACCCAGATCTAAAACCAGAGACTCTAAATATCCTAATTTTTGGATTTAATCTATGATATCCCAAATATCTTACATAGTCTTAATAGAAGTGTGAGAAGGATAATAATTTAAAGTGGGAAAACAAAGGGAAAATACAACTTCGATATTGTAAATAACTAAATCTACAAGAAGCAACCACTAAACTTATGTTCCCATCCACATTGAATCTTTAAAAGATAGGACTAGATGCCTTAGGATAATTAAGGTTGCTCTTTATACTCATATCAACCCTTAATTATTTATTTTTGACAACCCCTAACTAATTATGGACTATTTCTTAGAATAAATATATATTTAGAGGAATCATTGTAATGTTGAATTTATTGTTAGATTACAAAAATGCTATTTTACCATGTAATAGTTATACCGAAATATAGACTGTAATCAACATCTCAATTAACAAGGATCCATTAAAGAAGCAAAAAATGAAAAATGGTTGTTTATAGGGGTGTTGAATATTGGTTTTGGGTTTTGTTTATGGTTTGAATTTTTGGTTTTAGAAAATAGGTATCAACCTAAAATCAAATGGGGTACTTGCACAAATAACCCATAATTTGAAGTCAAATGCAAATTTGTAAAATAATTAAACGACCAAAATAGCATTAGAAGAAGATGAAATCAACAAAAATTTGTAAAATAATTAAATGGGACAGATTCTTACGTGGTCGTCCCAAGCTTGGTCCTTGTTGTAGATGATTGCAGATCCGAACTCAAGTGAACGAAGAACATAGCAAAAATGGAGAGCAGCAAGAAAGAAGATTACAGCAACAAAGAATTTAAATTATTAGAAACAAATTTCAGTTTAAATTATTTTTATATAATTTTAAATTTTAAATATAAGATTTAATAATATAGCAGACTTCTTATAAGTCTGCTCTGCAGACTTCATTAATATTT